AGAGAAAATAAAATAAATGAGGACGTCATTGGGCTGTGGTTCCTTATCCGGTTTTTTTGGCCTTTTAGCAAAACCTTTTTAAGTGGTTTAGTATGGTCTTGGGTGACGTGGATGCTTTGTTGGATTCCACGTGTGATGAGATAATGTGAACGCCCCAAGCGAGAAGAATATGCCTTTTGAATTGATTTTTTTTTCCTTCCAAGTTTTGTTTGTCCCTTGGGAGATGTGACGAGATGAGATTTATCAAGGCCCCAATGGCCCACCTCTCAACCTTCTGGCTCTCTCAGAAGTTTGTTCAGCTGATTAAGCTGTTGATTTTGGACTCAGTAGAAGAAATTTAACACACATTTCTTCATCCACGTATGACTCTCGTACTTCTTGTTAAGAGATGGTATGGATTATGGAATCTATATGACTATATGGTGGGTTAACAAAATGTAGTGTATTGCCGAATTCTATTGGTTATAAAGAAACCAATAAGTAGTGAACGTACAAGTACATCCACAGGTTAAAAGCCAACGGATGCCATTGCCGATCATACACAGTTAAGCATGTGATCCTGTTCCAGTGTTCCATAAGTTATGAAAATAAACAGGCTCAACAATTCAAATAGATTATATCCCAAAAAATGGGCTGAAAAAGAATGAGATGGTTGAGAACCCGTTACGAATAGACTATATAGCCCAAAAATGCTATCAAAATGGAATTGTACAAAAACCACCAGATAATGGGCTGAATTATCTGGGCTGGCCCAACTTCTAAAGATATACAATTAAGTTGCTACTTCCCATTTTCCAAGTCACGTTGTCTAGTACTAGTTGTTTGAAAAATATCGACTAAATTTGATACAAGAAAAAAAAAAAAAAAAAAAAAGTTCCTTCTTCGTTAAAAAAGAAGAATCCAAAAACTCACCTTACGGTTAATTATTAGACCAAAATCCATGAACGAATAAAGATGTTGTTTGCAACCAACTAAAGTCTGAAATACTATTAGGGAACACCAAATTTAATAACTTGTTTTATTTTACTATTTCTGAAACGAAAAGTTAAACACAATAATGAAAAATGAAGGTACAGACAGATGTACAAATTACAACAATACAGCCTTAAAAATAAAACAAATGATAGAAAGGACCGGAGGATGTTCTATGTTTTCTTTAGTGTAAATAATACAAAAAATATTTTAAGAAGAACTAAGTTAATTAAGTAACACGTAAGCTTACCATAAGTGTACTAGATGACAAGATAACTAAATAGAAACACAATCCACAAAATAAACGCATTGACTAGTAATTACTAAACATATGAACTGCTAATCAAATCACATTCTTAAGGCAAAATTGAACCATAAAATTGATGTCAAAAAAAGAAAAGAAAAATTGAACCATACAGCATCGGTAAACACTAAACACTAAACAGTAGTAATAAAATGTAGTGACCGTTGGATGGGAAATCGAAAAAAGGAAATTTCGATAAACGAGGACCATTATTCAAGTTTTAAAAAACGATGGAAAAAGACAGATGTTTATGGATCGTTCTAGCCGTTACCAGATACGATACACGTGGGATGATCTGTATGGATTAACGAAAAGATCTGACCTGTCTTTTGCCAAACCGATGTGGAAATTATGACGTGGATGTTCTAGAGATAAAGATTGGCTGCCCCTTGTGGTAGGTCAGTCCCTTTCTCTGGACTATATATGATATAGTACTAAATTAATTTTATTAAATTGTAACAAACTAATTGAAGTTGAAGTTCGCTAACAAGGATAAAAAAAATCCTTCTTCTTTCTGGAAAATAAATCATAATTAACGATAGGTAGCAGCAAAGATAAGATGGTGATCTATTCTCACATGCAATGATTCGGGTGAACTTAGCCAAATATTATTATTATCCAACCTCTTGTGCACCACGGAGAGATTTTAATTAGGTTATTTATATATTAGATGGTCCAGTACTACTATCCAGACTTTTTTTTTTTTTTTTGTCAAAGACTACTATCCAGACTTTATTATTTTTGTTTCCAAATCATAAAACTTGAAATCTTATTGATTACTACTAGGGTCGATATCAATTTATTAATCACTCCTGATTTATTAGTTTCAAAATCAGTTGAAATGAAAATGTGTATTGGTTTTGGTGTTTGCATTACCTAATTTTATTATGCGAAATCGCATACTCATCTTCATGGACAAAGAGGAAGACAATCATCATTTTCTATGATTGCTCATCGACCTGGCATTTCCATAACCAAAGGCAGCATAATATCAAATCAAATATTTCTTTGTCGTAATTTACTTGAATTAATGATAAATATTAAATATTATCGTGGGTCGACTTAGGAAGTAAAGTTACCTCCATTCATTTCATATTATCTAAATCACATTTGCGTAAAAGTTAAGTATTAATAATAGCATTACACCTTTTACCAAAAAAATAAAATAATAATAATAGCATTACACAAAGTGATAAAGCAAATTAAGTACTAATTGGCTAGGGATATTAGCAAAAAAAAAAATTATTAGGGCTACGAGGATAAGGACAAACGTCGTATAAACGTATAAAAAATGTGAAAGCAAAAGAGTGAACTAAGCTTTAGATAATAAACACTCATTACGGGATTTCTAAATTGCTAGCACTTCGTATTATCCGTTAGTGTCCACTATTTATGCTAGTTTTTTCTCCTTTTTGGAATTTTTTTGTGTGCTAACTAAGGAATTTTTTTGTGTGCTATCTAAAGAATTTTCTTTATGCAATTATCAATATAATTTACCATTGAATTTTAATGTACGTTGTACCAACTTGTCTAACATGCTCCGTCCGTTCTGCTATAGACAAAACATAATCATTCAAATTTTTTATGGTACGCTCAAATTTTCGTTAATTATGTATTAGTACTCTCAAAACTCAAAAGTATTATGTTATACTCGTTGTTTTGGCTGTTAAAAAACTTAAAAATGATTAGGATGGTGTGTGTATTGCATGAAGTCGGATAGGCCTATGCATTATTAATGAGTTTTGATAGGTTTGCTGTTGTGAAACTTTATTGAATATTTATCTAAAGTAAACCATCAATTTTTTTGGTAATATGTTTTCTTTTTAACGTGAAGCTGAGCTAAAACATGCTAAAAGACTATTAATAAAAAGCAAATAAATAAAAGAATGACAAATGAGTAGATAAAATTTTGATCAACAAAAATATGATGCACTTGCACTAGTATATACTCCCATATTCGCTTAACCAAAGTTAAAATCGGTTTTAGTCCATAGAGATAGTCTTCAAATTACAAGGACAACACATTAATGTGAATATAAATTGGAATAGACTATAGTTATCTGCGGGTGAATGTTTGTCTATACGAGTTTCGTCAAAAAAACGGCACCAACCATAATTAATAGACTCCATCTTTTCCGGTATGAATTTCTCCTTCTAAATTGCCGCGAATTGAATCTTCTTCGTAGATTATTAATCTTTTTCATGTAGTTGCTTTTAGTAGATTATCATATGTTGTAAAACTAATTTGACAAATATTTTGACCTAATCTGAAAAATAAAAGAGGAAAGTTACCAAAAAAAAAGATATGGAAAAAAGACAAAGATATTGATATAACCGTTGAAGAGAGTTGGGATGACAGGCTGACGAGAAAACCATACACCTCATTTCTATCATTAACCCTCACATGGCTTACCTGTACATCTGGATCCCACCACCTTCTACTTTTTATCTCCCCATTTTTTTCAAAATTATTACCCAAAAAAAAAATACTATCCAACAAACCTACAAAAACACATGCCTTATTTTATTTATTTAAACATTTTGTTTTTAGAGTCAATTAGTGTATACTAATTATTTGAGAAATAATTAGCTTGTATATACACAACTTTTATTCTTTGCAAAACAAGAGAGAGAAATTTTTGGTTTCGAAAAAATCGGACGAATTTACCCTTGGAATAAATAGCGGGAATTTTGCCTCCAAAAATGTCTTACCATATGTTTCCTGGTAAAATATATGTGTTTCCCGATATATCACTATATATCATGATATAAAATCAAAAAGATAATGGTTAAAAAAACCAGAAACTAATGTTGGATCATAAAAAAACCAATCAATCTCTATAACGACTCTGCAAAGAATCCTCCAAATCAAGATCAACACCAACACGATTCCGAATCGATGCATTTGCGTGGCACGAAGAAGAAGAGCAAGATTAGCCTATTTCCCAAGCCAATTTATCACTTTGACTCCATCCTCAACGCCATTGATTAGCCGCCGAATCAGAAGTTCCACTAACCCAACTTCCACCGTGAAACTGCAACATCACTGGTAGGGCCATTACTATGTCTCCGATCAGATCTGGGTTGGTGGTGGTGATAATTATCCTTGTGGCGTAACAAATCGAGTTCAGGTGGAACTGCTTGAAAGCCTCCGCCCTCCGGCTCCGCCTTTGAACAGAGAAGAGAGTTCCATCTTCTTCGTATCGGCGTGGACAGTGGATAGTGTGGTGGTGAAGCTAGAGGAGATCGTGGCAATGGCAAAGATGGATGCGTGGGAAGATGAAGATTGAAGGGGTAATTATGTCATTTTGTCACCAAACCCAAACACCAGTTATTTACGAAATCGCCCCTTCTCCTTTGACTTAATTATTTCTCAGTCTTAGGGTATGCAGTGTAATTACTCTTGTTTTTATCCCATTGTTCCATATTTATTATCTTAGTAAAGATAAATATTCACATTTTACAGAACTGCAGAAGATTTTGGCCATGCACATTATACCCCACTTTGATTGCTATTTTATACACTATATCATTAGTACTAAGACAAAATTTTGACTATTATTGGGCCAGTAATAATGCATATAACTATTGGTGATATAGCTGGAGAAAAAATGCATTAAAACACAAATTTGACTATTATTTTGCAGGAATAATGCATAAGACTATTGGTGATAGCAGGAAAAAAAAATGCATTCACACTTAAATTTGACTATTATTTTTCAGTAATAATGCATATTAATCGTTCCTGATTAAATTATTTAACTACAACTAGAAAGTTCTAAGAAACATTTAGTAGTTTTGATTATTAGTACTAAGTTAGTTTAAAAGGTAATTAACTAAATAATCGTACTAATAATGATTATGACCAGAATTATGTAGATTATACAAATAGTAAGTTATACCGAAAGTACCCTTGGCTTATCCCTGGCGTTGCAAGGGTTTCTTTTTTTCCCTTTAAAATGGTAGAAGAGAGACACTGACGTCGTCACACAGCACCACTCAATTCGAGCAAACTCCATACCTAGCTTCAGAGAGAAAAAAAATCAAATCTTTTTAGAGAGAGAAAGAGCAAAGATGTCGAAAGAAGTGAGCGAAGAAGGAAAAACCCACCATGGGAAAGACTACGTGGATCCTCCACCAGCTCCGTTTTTCGACATGGGAGAGCTCAAATCCTGGTCTTTCTACAGAGCTCTCATCGCTGAGTTCATCGCTACACTCCTCTTCCTCTATGTCACCGTAGCTACTGTCATCGGCCACAAGAAGCAAACCGGTGCTTGTGACGGCGTTGGTTTACTTGGTATCGCTTGGGCTTTCGGTGGTATGATCTTCGTCCTCGTTTACTGCACCGCCGGTATCTCTGGTAAGCTAGTAACTCAAAAGATCTTATCTTTTTCTTGTTTTGTTCGTTGGTTTTGTTGTTAATCTCGTTCTTGTTTTGTTTTTCCGTAGGTGGTCACATTAACCCAGCTGTGACTTTCGGTCTGTTCTTAGCCCGTAAGGTCTCTTTGGTGAGAGCTCTTGGTTACATGATAGCTCAGTGTCTTGGAGCCATTTGTGGTGTGGGTTTCGTGAAAGCTTTCATGAAAACTCCTTACAACACTCTTGGTGGAGGAGCTAACACCGTAGCTGACGGTTACAGCAAAGGAACTGCTCTCGGAGCTGAGATTATCGGAACTTTCGTCCTTGTTTACACCGTTTTCTCTGCAACTGACCCTAAGAGAAGCGCTCGTGACTCTCACATCCCCGTAAGTGTTATTTAATCCTCGAAAAGCTCGAATCTTTACAGAGTTTTATTAAAAAAATTGGTGTAAATCTCTAATGGGTATGTGTAGATTCTGATAAAGTTTGAATCCTTTTAGGGTTTAATGACTAAGATTTGTTTATATCTCAAATGGGTCTTTGTAGATTCTGATAAAGTTTGAATCTTTTTAGGGTTTATTAACAAAGTTTGTATGAATCTCACATGGGTCTGTGTAGATTCTGCTGATAAAGTTTGAATCTTTTTAGGGTTTAATGACAAAGTTTGTATGAATATCAAATGGGTCTTTGTAGATTCTGACAAAATTTGGTGGGTTTTCTTGTGAATAGGTTTTGGCTCCACTTCCAATTGGTTTTGCTGTGTTCATGGTGCATTTGGCTACTATCCCCATTACCGGAACTGGTATCAACCCAGCAAGAAGCTTTGGTGCTGCTGTTATCTACAACAACGAGAAGGCTTGGGATGACCAAGTAAGTGTTGTGTTTATTTATTATCTGGATTAGGTTTTCACTAATCATTGATGTCCTAATGTTTGGTTCTGTTTTGGTTTTGCAGTGGATCTTTTGGGTAGGTCCGTTCTTGGGAGCACTAGCGGCTGCAGCTTACCACCAATACATATTGAGAGCTTCAGCAATTAAGGCCTTGGGCTCATTCCGAAGCAACGCAACCAATTAATGAGAGATTAAAAGATATGTGAAGAAACAACTTTAAGATTTATATGTTTTATTATTATTTGTTGTTCTTTTGTGTGTAATGCGAGAGATGGTGGATTGATGTTAATTATGAAATGGCTCAGTGACTTCTGTTTCTTTCTTTTTTAGTTTTGGTTTGTCTTTGTGGATCATTTGCCTTTGGTTTCTCCTTAGAAGTTAAAATTTTTATGTTTTCTCTGTATCCATCTAGTTCGAGAGCATTCCTTCACGTTTTCGAACAATCCAAATTAAATTTATCATTCTTCACAACTACACAAGATTCTTTTAATGTATAATGTATTACAACTAGCGTCCAAGTAAGATACAAATTTCGGCAGATCATGTTATTGTGTGGGTCTTTTGGTTACTATCCTCGGGCCATCTCTAAACCATCGGGTTAGAACCATCGGGTCATATCTAAACCAATCATTCATTGATACGTGTCTTGAGAAGGAAATGTGTAACGGGTGTTTCTCGATAGTTCCACAGATAAATTGGATTCCATTTGTTATGTGATTAACTTTTTCGTTAGTTGACAAGAAACAACTACTTTCCGTTCCTTTTCTTTCGATTCTATTATTTAAAGAAAAAAGAACTCGTGCGAGTACCTTTTGTTATTCTTGTGAAAGGCTAAAAAGGAGTGGAGCCAATAGAGATGTAACAACCAGACAAGAAACGAGACATTAAACCCATTTTTTCCACCGCACTCAACTTTTTTGGCCTCGTGTGGTGTAGCTCATGTGTTATCACATGGGTAACTTCATCATCTAGTTACCATATTGTTACTGTAATATATTGTAGACTCCTTTAGTTTAGATTCTTTAGACCCACCCAAACCCATATATGTGTTTGGGTGTATTGCGAAAATTAGGCTTTACCAACTTAATTGAATAATGAATTTGACTAAAGAGAGAATTCTAAAACATTAATGAAAGCGATAAGCACTAAATTTGTCTAGACTTAAGGCAATTTTTAAGGTAGTGTAGAAGTTAATTTAGTTTTCAAGCAATGACATTTTTTATCAGGCAGGAAAAAAGTTTAGGCTGCTTAGACCACTTAATCTTTAGGCTCCGCTTAATTTCGTTGCTTAAAATGTAATTGCGACAGTGAGAGTTGGCTCAATATACATACATATACGCATTAGTCTACATGGAATAGTAGTAATAATTCACGACTCGTCTTTTCAGAAAAGTGAATGCAGAGGAGAGAGAAAGAGAGACAAGGACCACAACGATGACCTTCATGCTTATCCCTAAACCGATTTACTTAACCAATCTGATGCTTTATAGCCAAAAACATAAACTTCAAACAAACAACAGCCGAGTGTGAAACTTTAATTGTCTGTCCATTTTTTTGAAAGAAATGATGTCATGATAGGTTGACAAAAAGAACGGAAAAATTCCAAAAAAAAACCTCATTTAATTTTTATTTTGACATTTAATATCTAATTGTTTTTTGTTGGAAAAAATATACATATATTAATTAAACAGTGTAATTTAATACCTAAACAATTAAATATTGTTATTTTCATACTTACAAACTCACAACAACAAAAAAAATTCTAATTTTACCCTTATCATTTTAATTAACTATTAACTTTTAGATGACTTGACATTAATTTTTTATTTAAATAAAAATTAATTTTATTAATATTTCATTTCTTTTTCTATCCCAAAAAATTCAAAAAAAACTCAAAATAATTTTCAGTTTATTTTACAGATATTTAATTTTTAAAATTTTAAATAAAATTAATTAGCAAAAAATATTTTGAAAAAAATAGCTATTTTTATGAATTGATAAATCTTGAGAAAGACGATGAGATTCGAATTGAGATTTTTTCGAAAATAGTTTCATTCGTAAAAGATTTATATTCGAATAGAGAGTTTCTCACGACGAAGAAAAAGTTCATATCGATGCTCGTTAATATCATATGCATCACAATAAATAAAATCAAATTAGTTTTATTGGTGATGAAGATTTTGGATACGATTAAAAAGAGATTGTAAACGGTTATCGAATTTGACTTTTTCGAAAATAGTTTCATTCGTGAAGGATTTATATTCGAATAGAGAGTTTCTCACGACGAAAAAAAAGTTCATATCAATGCTCGTTAATATCATATGCATCACGACGAATAAAATCAAATTAGTTTTATTGGCGATGAATATTTTGGATACGACTAAAAGGAGATCGTGAACGGTTATCGAATTTGATGGTTGTAAAAGAGGACGACGGAGATCGTTTACCGACGATTATCGTAGAGATTAATCGAAAAAATTTGAGAGTCGAAGAGGAAACGTCTCTTTGACATTGCACAAAGAGGGAATGGCTATTTTTAATATTTTTTATTTTCTGCTAATTTTTATGTTTAATTTTAAAATAAAATAATTATATAATTTTTTTTATTTTTTAGGCAACATAAACAAAACATTAGTAAAATTAATTTTTATTTAAATAAAAAAATTAATGCTATGTCATCTAAAAGTTAATAATTAATTGAAATGATAAGGGTAAAATTGGAATATTTTTGTTGTTGTGAGTTCGTGAGTATAAAAATAACAATATTTAATTGTTTAGGTATTAAATCGCACCGTTTAATTAATATATGTATATTTCTTCCAACCAAAAATAATTAAGTATTAAACGTCCAAATAAAAATTAAATGAGGTTTTTTTTTGGAAATTTTGCCATAAAAAACACTTCAACTTTGGAAATAAATCACTAATTCAGACTTTTAAAAAGTTGCGAACTTTTTATCATTCGATGTTAAGGATTATATATTATTGATGTGTCTCAAAAAATTGTCAAGGTGATTTCACGTGATAACCAATTCAATCTTGTGGAAGCCTTTGGAACCACCTACTAAAAGTTTTATTTATTTATTTTAAGAAGATTGAATTTTCTAATTTCTCTCTATTAGTTAAGACCTGAGTCTCCCAATGAGGTTATTTATTAATTATTACTCACATTGTGCAAAAAAAACAAGCACAATTTGTGGTCCACAAACCTTTCTCTGGAGGTTTCTGGTTCAACTTCTCCGGTTTAGACTTAAATCTTCGTTTTGTGGGCAAACCCGAGGGGGAGCAACCGGTTGGGCCATGTTGCAGTGGGCTCATTGTAAAGCCGACACGAGTAACCGAAGCCCAGTAGCATTGTTTGCAAATAACAGATTGCTTTGTCCGTTGCAACGGTTTTAAAGCAGAGTAGAAGTCAAAACAGAGTACGAGACTTTTTTTTTTTTTTTTTTAAGATCAAATATAACCAGTGAATAACATAAATAAATAACTACATAAGATACGTTTGGACTAACATAGTTTTCGACAAAAACAAAATAACGAAAAAATTCAATGCATGCCAAATTCGATTGATCAAGGACTTTGATCTTATGGTCTCCGATTCTATATTTGACATGATATTTATTTTATTCCCGTTTCACTCGTAATTGACCTCAAATTGAGTAGTCACCCACGCAATAAAGAATGAACTCAACAAAATTATGTATTCCCTTTTATCTTGCAAAAGTGTTGTTTTGACATTTTCTATAAACATATTTTAAAGAACTATATAAAATATTCAACAAGTTCTGCAATAACTAACACAATAAATATTGTTGTGAATTTAGTTTTTAAAACAATCTTTCGTTTTCCAAACTCTTAAGACAACTTGTAATCTTTCCCATTATAGAAAACGAAAGAAACCAAAAAAAAAAAAAAACACATAATCAAAGAACAATGCATCACACAAAGCCAAACGTATTTATTAGCAACAACCAAATATCTATCTTAACACTTTTATAAGTTACTAATAAATACCAGCTTTTCCATAATACCTTAAGAACTCATTTATTAGAGAGTATTTTTGATTTTGTGCTATTACCTATTACTAACAACATCACACACAATCACAGCACAAACTCACAGAAGCTCATCTATAAACGATTTCCCTTTAAATTTTTCCATTTTGAATCCCATTTTCTCCAACCTCGACCGTTCTGCTTCAATCTCGACCATCTGAGCCCGCGTCTCCTCAATCCGCAGCCTCGCTTCCGCCACTTCCTTCTCCATCCTAACCAAATCCGTTTCTTGAGCCTCAAGCTCTTCTTTCTTAGCCTTCACTAAACCATCATGCCTCTCTTTCTCATTTTCTGCATCTTCTAGAGACTGCGCAAACTCTTCAAGAACAGAACGTAGCCAAGCCACTTCGATGTTCACAGACTCCAAGTCTTTGAGAACCGCAAGCATCTCTTTGACTTTGATTTTGCTCAACTGCCCTACCGGGGTTGACCTGAGTTCCTGCATCAGTGAGCATAAACACTCCAGGTAACGGGATCGCATTGAATCCGATTCCAGCTTACAGTTTTGAGCAATGTCTCCGTGTTTTTCGATGATAGCACTTAGGATTGTGGATGAACCGGATCTGACTCGGTATTTTCCGACAGAGACAAAAGTGTCAGACATTACTGATTCAAGATCGAGCTCTACACCAATCTCATTGTTGTTTTCTTCATCATCATCAGTATAATCATCATTGCTCTCTTCTTCATGCGATCTTGGAAGGCTTAGGAAACTAAAGAGTCTAGTTTCGCCGCCTGCTCCAATCTTCCCGTCGTGTTCTTGTATTCCAGGTTTAGGTGATACGGCTTTGCTTTGATCAACCTTCATAATATACAAGAAACTACCAGAGTTTACAAATATGTTAAAGATATGTAGTAATAGAAATCATGGAAGAGAGTAGAGGATGAAATACCAAATTGTTTGAGGAAAGTGGAATGGTTTGAGAAGGTTTCTTCTCCGGTTTATGGTTGAAGAAATCATCCGGGTCACCGGATGATGAAGAAGTTAAAGACTTATTCGATTCAGAAACAATCTTCTTCTTCACAGAAACAGATGGAGCTACGGAATGATGAACCTTTGGGGAATTACTATTTGCAAAACCGCCTCTGCCGTTTTGGTAAGGCCTTGCGGATAGTGGTGAAGGCGGTTGTGAATGTGATTCCTTCTTTTTCCTACCGAAACTCCCTGAGAAGCTAAGAAGCCTTGAACCTGTAATTAAAACAGAACAAGAATCAGAATCCATAAGACAAAAACTTTGACTTCAAAATGTTTTAAAAATGGCAAAATCAAAAGCAGAGTAAAAGTACTTTGCTTCTTAGTGTTCTTCTTGACATGGCCTTGAGCAATTCTCTCTAAACAAGCTGAAGCACATTCATGGAAAGGATTATCCGCATATACACAATCCGGATGAGCTTTTCTATTGAAATCCATAGGCTTTTGATCAATGGGACAACTTCAATAAAACCAAGATAACCAATCAGCTCAAAGGAGACAAACTCAAAGAACAACACAAGAACTTCAAATTTGTGGTTTCAAAGGACTGAACATATCACATTAAGGGTAAGTAAAAGGTCAAAACTTTACACCTTCGTTTCAACAAATAGGTCAAAAAGATTAGACACTAACAACTTATAATATACAACAAACTCCCAACGAAATTGGATTCCATTCATATTTCACCAACCCTTCATTCATTGCTTTATATGAGAAAAAAAAAATGTAAAGAGAGAGAGAGATTCACCAAAACATATCCATAAAGAAATTTCTTAAGAGTAATAGTGAAATTGATCCCCACAAAACCAATCAAATCATAAAATGTATATGTAGATACAAAAAGACAACTTTTGGTTTGTTTCTTCTTCTTAATACATCATGGACCGACCATGCAAATTCCAAGTACAATTTCCCAGTGGGATACTAAATTTCAACGGTGGAAGCACTCAGTTATTGACTTAGACCAGAGTTAAAAGGTAGATTATTTTGACCGGCTTGTTTCCTGAACAGACAAAAGCTTTTAAGGCCCACCCTCTGGATAATATTTTTTTTATAGGTTGAAATTTCGTTTTCCATGATTGTCTTTTGTCACAAAATTTCTTAGAACAGAGCAAAGAAACAGAGCATATGACAATATAACAGTATGCATCAATATCATCATCGATCATTGGATTAATTCTTAAAACACAAACAAACACACGATTGATAAGCGAGAACAAGAAACGATTTGTCGAGCAAAGAACCAAACTTTTAATTCACACCAAAATGCAAACTACAAAACAGAGAAATAGAGATAAAGGGAGAGAGATACCAGGAGAATCGGAAGAGGGAAAGAAGAGCGTTGAGCGGAGAAAAATGAATAAAATGTTGATTTTATTTGTTTTGTTTATAAGTTATAACAGTTGTGTATATTATAAGGTTGTATATGGTTGTATTCATGTGACATTGTCTTGGGTATAATAATATGATGAATTGACCAAAGCCAATATTACCCATAGAAGATAAAGAGAAGCATTTAATTAAAAAGAGGTTAGAAACGGCAATCAATCACACCTCACTTATCTTCCAGAAGTGGACACCAACGTGGGACGGTTATAATTCACAAATACAAGTGAGATAATTAGAGCATCTTCATTAGACAACTTTTGATGGGTGTCTTTAGTATAAATTAGTAATAAAATTAAAGATATTCCCCTTTTTGGGTATGTAAAATGTCTCTAGGAAGACACAAACTATAATTAAAGACACTCTCTACTTTATTTTTATATTTTTATTAATTTTATATTTAAAGACACTCACAAATAAATGACCAAATATGGATGCTCTTAGAGACGACGAGAATCGAAAGTAGAAATTAAAAAGACAAAAAAAAAGTTGTCAGTTAAAACGCGTCATTGCGTGGCATTGTTTGCATCACACGTGAGATTTAGTTAACTTTTTAAGCTTCTTAAGAATCTTTAGTTCATAACTTGTTTGCATATCTCATGTCTAATTTTATTTTTTTCTTCATAAGGTCCAAATTGGTATAATTAACAAACTGTTTATGTATATAAGTTCTCTATTTTTTTTGTAAGTTATGTTCACACTGGATCTCTTAGTATTTTCTAATGTTTGCGGATAAGTATAAATAAAATCAAATACATATAAATCAATATTTTGCGAATTAAGTGTTGGTACCAAATTAACTTTCTAAGATTATGGAGATTGCTTTGCTAAAACATAACTTTATAATTCAATCCCTAGGAAGGACATTTTCTTCACGATTTGTCAAAGTGCATGCATGTTGATCCGATAGCAAACAACATTTATTATAGAATCTGATAAAAGCATCTTTTTTTTCATTGTGTTATCTTTCGTAAGTCGTAATTTTAGTAGTACTATATAGTTTCGAAATGCGAGTTATCCAGAAGCGATAAATGACCATTTCCCCAATAATACTTTCATCCTTTTTTTTGGGGGTCAGACTTCCTTTCATGAAGAAGAAGAAGAAGAAAAACATAGAGTCAACTCTAGAGCGTTGGCTTTTTAAGGGACATAACAGATTTTCTTAATACTATAATGCACATTCTTTAAACAAATCATTTTTTTTTTATAACCGAGTGTCCTGGCCCCACCGAAGTGGTCCAGACTAGAGACCGAACCCTTACGGCACGGACGCACATCCGAGGGTGGGTCATGGTCAGGTAACGGTTTACGGTCTCGGACGATAGAGCAAATTCGCATGTAAATTCTCTGGTGGCCACTAGTATGTAGCAAGGGGGAATCGAATCCGGGCGTATTGGGATTACCCCCTCAACCACGAAATCCTTCCTACCACTAGCCTACCTTGTAGTGGTTAACACACAAATCATTTTAAATAATACGACCATTCTTTAATTTCTTTTTTCGTTCATGCAACATGTCTTTTTCTTTCCCTCTTATTATCTAATTTTATTTTACTCTTCGTTCATTTGTACTTGTTTTTGTTTCTTTTAAAATAGATATTTATGCTATCGTTTGAAATATTACTTTTAGTTTTCAAACCGGTTTTAACAGGGTTCGATACTGAAATCTGTTTTAAACATGGGCAATTTGGTATTTTATTTCAATTCAGGGGACTTGTTCGTTAATAGAAAAAGGTAAAAGATTCTTCATTTTAACAAAGGAAACAATTACCCTTTTCAGTTTTCACTAGGTTTTCTATAAGACGGTGATTTTGAAGACCTAAATTTTAGCTTAGTAAACACGGTATCGTTGCTATGGACACCGCCAAAGTAGAAGAACCGCAGGAAACGAAGAAGACGACTCTTACAGCTCAAACTCCATTATCTATGTCGATTTCATCACTTCCAGATGAAATCGTTTTAAGTTTCTTAGCCCGGATCTCTAAATCTTACTACCGTTCCCTCTCTTTAGTCTCCAAGAGCTTTTACGCTCTTCTCTCTTCTACAGAGATCTACGCGGCCCGACCCCACATCGGAGCCACAGAGCCTCGCCTCTACGTGTGCCTGTGGTTACTCAACAAGCATCGCTGGTTCACTCTTCTGAATCCCGATCAAACCCTAATCACCAACGGTGGTGAGATTGAGGGTGAATTAAGTTTAGTACCGGTAAGGCTCTCTTCCTCCAATCCTCCCGCTCGGTTAAAGTCAACCACTGTAGCTGTCGGTTCCGAAATCTACCAAATCGGCGGAACCGTCAACGGCAAGCGATCCAAAGCCGTTGGTGTGCTTGATTGTCGAAGTCATACATGGCGACGTGCTCCTAACATGAGAGTGTCAAGGGTAGGCGCCAAGTCTTGTTTTTTAGACGGACATATATATGTAATAGGAGGATGCAGAAAGAGTGAGGAAGAATCCAAGAATTGGGGTGAGGTTTTCGACCTAAAGACTCAGACTTGGAATCCATTGCCTAGCCCTAGTGATAATTATGCCGTGGATTCGAATCACAAAGTTGCAGTTTTTGGAGAAAGGCTATACGTAATCACCAAGCATAACAACTATGCATATGCTCCGAATGAAGTAAGATGGCTACCAGACGTGGGGTCTGTGGATCTACAACCCATAACTGGACCTTGGTGCGGCGGTATAGAAAAAGTTATGAAACCTATAACTGGACGACCTTGGTGCGTTATAGGAAATGTAATGTTTACTGATGAGTGCAGGAAGTACAGGTGGTATAGCTCAAGTCATGGAGCGTGGCTAAGAGTTGAAGGTTTGCATGATCTATACGCTAAGCGTCGTTTTGAGTACCGTACGATTCAGTTAGTTAACTATGGTGGGAAACTGTTAATTATATGGGACGAGTGGGTCATGATCCTAGACAGGAATTACCTTATTCGCAGCCAAGACAAGCAAATTTGGTGTGCTGTGATTAGGTTGGAGGAGCGTATGTCTTATTTGGGACCCCAGATTTGGGGGCAGGTTGAGAGCTGCAATGTTGTTGTGCCTAGCGTCCCCAAGTCTTATAAGCTCTCAAGCTGCCAATGTGTTTCGGTCTGAAACTCATCTTTGCTTTCAACATATTATTTGGGGTTTAGTTGTCTAGTAGGATGCGATTGTTCACTCTAGTTCTTTGTTTTGTTTTTTTTGCTCTTTCCTTTAATTCAGAGACAAGCTAGCAAGCTGTTTTGTCAGATTTTTCTTTTTATTTAATTTATGCTGTTTTTTTTCTTTTTTCTGTGTTTGTTCTTACTAATTATTATAGATCTTTTAGAATTTTTTAGTTAGTTGTCTAGAGATGGACCTCATGAGATTCTGCTTATGCTCTTTTCTCCCCATTTAAACCACTTCTCTTCTCATTAGCATGTTTATCTATCTTCTTCTTAAGCTTTCTTGCGATTCCCTCTTCTTCATCGTAAGCTCTACCCAAACAACTCTCGGAATTTTTCGTCTTTGAAAATCCAACCACGTACGACGAAGAAGAAAGAGATTCTTTGATTCTCACTTGTAGCCAACATTAAAAAAAAAAAAAAAAAAAAAAAAAACTCTAATTTAATAAGCTTGCCCAGTCCTCTCCTCGCTATTTCTTAGCTTAACCGAGCGGTCTGGCTTAAATTTTTCTAATTTAATAACGGAACTATCCGGTCGAACCGGTTAAACGGATGCGTGTTGTTAAATGTTATCAATTGAAATATTACTTTCAGTTCTCAAACCGGTTTTAACATGGTTCAATACTGTAATGTGTTTTAAACATGGGCGATTTGGTATTTTATTTAGATTAGGGACTTGTTTAGAAAAATGTAAAAGGGTTTTCAACATTTAATAAAGGGAAAAAATTTCCTTTTCACTATTTTTATATAAGACGCTGATTTTGAAGACCTAAATTTTAGCTTAGTAAACACGGTATCGTTGCTATGGACACCGCCAAAGTAGAAGAACCGCAGGAAACGAAGAAGACGACTCTTACAGCTCAAACTCCATTATCTATGTCGATTTCATCACTTCCAGATGAAATCGTTTTAAGTTTCTTAGCCCGGATCTCTAAATCTTACTACCGTTCCCTCTCTTTAGTCTCCAAGAGCTTTTACGCTCTTCTCTCTTCTACAGAGATCTACGCGGCCCAATCCCACATCGGAGCCACAGAGCCTCGCCTCTACGTGTGCCTGTGGTTACTCAACAAGCATCGCTGGTTCACTCTCGCCGAGATTGAGGGTGAACTAAGTCTAGTACCGGTAAGGCTCTCTTCCTCGTTTCCTTTTACTCGATTAAACTCAACCACTGTAGCTGCTGGTTCCGAAATCTACAAAATCGGCGGAACTGTCAAGGGAAAGCCATCCAGAGCCGTTTTTGTACTGAATTGTCAGACTCACAGGTGGCGTCATGCTCCTAAGATGAAGGTGTCAAGGGTACACGCAAAGTCTTGTTTTTTAGACGGGAAGATATATGTAATGGGAGGATGCAGAAAGAGTGAGGAAGAATCCATGAATTGGGGTGAGGTTTTCGACCTAAAGACTCGAACTTGGAAGCCGTTGCCTAGCCCTAGTGATGGTGCCGTCGATTCGAATCACAAAGTAGCAGTTTTTGGAGAAAGGCTATACGTAATCACCAAGCATAAAAAATATGCATATGATCCGAAAGAAGGAAGATGGCTAGCAGAGGTGGGGTTTGTGGATCTAGAACCTATAACTGGAACTCGGTCCGGTGGCATAGAAAAAGTTATGCAACCTATAACTGGACCTTGGTGCGTTATAGGAAATGTAATGTTTACTGAGGAGTACAATAAGTACAAGTGGTTTTGCTCAAGGCGTGGAGTGTGGCTAAGAGTTGAAGGTTTGAATGATCTTGAAGGTTTGAATGATCTATACGAAAAGCGTGGTTTTCATTATTACCGTACGATTAAGTTAGTTAACTATGGTGGGAAACTGTTAATTATATGGCACAACTGGATTCACAGTGAAGAGAGGACAATTTGGTGTGCGGTGATTCGGTTGGAGGAGCGTATGTTACCCCATTTTGGACCCTGGATCTGCGGGGAGGTTGAGAGCTGTAATGTTGTTGTGCCTAGCGTCCCCAAGTCTTATAAGCTCTCAAGCTGCCAATGTGTTTTTGTCTGAAACTCATCTTTGTTTTCAACATATTATTTGGGGTTTTGTTTCTCATAGGATGCAATCATGCGATTGGTCACTGTAGGTTTTTTTTTTTTTTTTTTTTGTTTTTCTGTGTTTGATCTTACTAATTATTATAGATCTTTTAGAACTTTTAGTTAGTTGTCTAGAGATGGACCTCATGAGATTTTGCTTATGTGCATGTTTAGCTCTATCTATCTCCTTCTTAAGCTTTCTTGCGATTCCCTCTTCTTCATCGTAAGCTCTAGCCAAACAGCTCTCGGAATTTTTCGTCTTTGAAAATCCAACCACGACGAAGAAGATAGAGATTATTTGATTATCTCTTGTAGCCAGGGCAAAGAAAGCTCTAAGCTTGCCAAGTCCTCCGCTCGTCGCTATTTCTTAGCTTAACCGTACGGTCATGGCTTAAATTTTTCTAATTTAATAACGGAACTATCCTGTCGAACCGGTTAAACCGATTCACTATTTTATTTTGGATCAGGTCTTTCTTTTTGAACAATGAAAAAATTCTTTACATGTATGTTTTGAAGACCTAAAAAAACCCTAGTAATTACGATATCTAGTTGCTATGGACGCCAAAGTAGAACCGCCGCAGAAAAAGAAAATTACGATATCTCCGTCACCTCCATCGTTTTCATCACTTCCAGATGAACTAGTTCTACATTGCTTAGCTCGGATCTCGAAATCTTACTACCGTTCCCTCTCTTTAGTCTCTAAGAGCTTCTACTCTCTCCTCACTTCTCCGGACATTTACGCGTTTCGATCCCAAATCGGAACCACAGAGCCTTGCCTCTACATATGCCTTAAATCACCCACTTGTCGTCATAGCTGGATCACTCTTGATGAAACCCTAATCACCAACGGCGGCGAGATTAAGGATGAGTTAAGTTTAGAAATGGTAAAACTACCTTCCTCCCATTCTCCTACTCGATTAAACTCGACCACTGTAGCTGCCGGGTCGGAAATCTACCAAATTGGCGGAATAAACAAGACCAAACGATCCAGAGCCGTTATTAGTGTGCTTGATTGTTGTAGTCACAAGTGGCGTCGTGCTCCTAACATGAGGTTACCAAGGGTAGACGCCAAGTCTTGGTTCTTAGATGGGAAGATATATGTAATGGGAGGATGCAGAAAAAGAGAGGAATCCATGAATTGGGGTGAGGTTTTAGACCTAAAAACTCAGACTTGGAAGCCATTGCCTTGCCCTAGTGACAATGGCGTCGATTTCAATCACAAGGAAAACGTTGCAGTTTTGAGAGGAAGGCTATACGTTACCACCAAGGATAAGAACTATGTATATGATCCAAAAGAAGGAAGATGGAAGGAAACATTAGAGCTGGCTTCGGGTATTTGTTTTGGTTTGAGTCTAGAATCTATAACTGGACCTTGGTGCCTTGTAGAAAACGTAATGATTAATGATAATGGCGGTAGATACTGGTGGTGGTATGAGTCAAGTAGTGGAATGATTCCGGGTTTGAGTGATCTGTATATGAAGCGTGCTAGTAATTACCGCACGATTCAATTAGTTAACTATGGTGGGAAACTGTTAATTATATGGCAAGCGACGATCAACAAGAGAACGACTTGGTATGCGTTGAATAGGTTGGAGAAGCGTTTGAGTTCTTTTGAATGACCCCAGATTTGGGGTGAGGTTGAGAGGTTCAATGTTTTTGTCCCCACAATTCCCAAGTCATACGAACTCGTGAACTTTTTATCCGGTTTGAGGTGAAAAATGTGATTTGCTTTCGTTATTTGGTTAAGTTTTCATTTAAGGCAATTATATTATAGATTCTCGTAGTTGTGCTTCTTTAATTTGGCTACTATATCCCTAAAGGATTTTATAAGAGATCCGATGGTTATCTCTCAAAGTCAAATAATTCAAGATGACGATGTTCATACATTCTGACACTGTCGAGAATGTTCTACCGACGCATCCAGATTTTCTTCAAGGCAAAACGCTCCTCACCCTAAGCCTCTCAGTCTAATGTTTGGAGTTATGAAAACTCTCATCTACTTTTGTATTATGTCAGTTTTACAAAAGAGAAAAAAAAAAACATTGCAGTTAACAATAATTCTGGGAATGAAATAGTGAAGAAGGTAGTATTTTTAGAAATACAAACATTTTATACAATTAAACTTTTTTAGTTAAAAATCAAAAGTATTTACTTAAAACATTTTTGAAAAATTGTTAGAAATGTTTTCTTTCAAATATCCCTTTTCAAAATTGTGAGAAAATGTTAGTTTTCATATATCATGTAAATTTGGTATCAAAATTTAAAAAATTCTTTAAGAATCCGAATAGAAATATCAAAATTTTAAAAGCTATTTTCAAAATTCGAGTTAAAAACGTTGATACTAAAATCAATATAATGATGATGTGAAAACAAGTTGAATATTTAGAATATCTAACAACTAATGCGGGATCCAAAATTTTCAGAACCACGAAGAGGTAAGGAGTCTTTTACTTACATATTGCAGTGACTTGGATCGGACAACCATTGCAACTTGTTTCTGTTTCTTCTTCTTGTTCCAGACACTCGTGGAAATGAGAAAAGAGCTGGATGAGAAAATTGTGTCGACATTGCCCGCGAAGCTACAAAGGATTGCAATACAAGACTGAAAGTTTCTTCTCTGCTTTTATCAGGATCAAATTGTGTGTAATATCTCGTTCTGTTTTATTAATATTGTTACTCTGCTTTTGCTCTGTTTTACGAGGGTTTTAGCAATAAAAATGTAGTTGATCAATGAATTTTTTTTGTCAAAAGATGTTTTCTTCTTTTTACATTTGTCTGATAACATACATATATACCTACTTTAGCCACAACCTGTGTTTTCACCAGTAATTTCCACACGAGCAGCGACCATTGGAGAAGTGATGAAATATCTTGGAATCTCCAACAACTATCTCTCTTCTTGTCATTTTCGAAGCTTTTTCCAAGAACTCGTGACATTTTCTGCAGATTCTCGTGTTATTTCTCACCGTAACTGTTCTTCCCGTTTCCGTAGAGATCAATCCAAAACACGTGGCGAGCCTTACCGAATGTCTTCTTGGTGAATTGCTTCTGCTCTTAGCTAGAGTCTCTCGTCTCAACTTCGAGACATAGTGAACATAACTGTCTTCTTCTTCTTCTTCTCCAATCATCCTCGAGACAATATCTAAGACTTCATAGATCTTGTTTGTCTCCACGTGGGATCTGTCTCCGTTTGTTAACACATGCGTTTTGCTCTTCGCCTCAACAGTACTGCGACTTGATGTTCTGGATATGCCTTTGCTCTCCATGAGAAGCTTAATCCTATTTACATCTTCCCATCTTCGAGCTTCTGCATACATGTTCAAAAGCAAGACATAACATCCCGTGTTATCGTGTTCCATCTTAAATATCTGTTCTGCCGCGAATTCAGCTACGGTTATATCGTTATGGTTTCTGCTTGCATTTAACAAAGATCCCCAAATCCGAGCTGTTGGCAAAAATGGCATTTCTCTAATGAATCTCTTGGCTGAGCTGAAGTTTCCTGTACGGCCAATGAGATCCAGCATGTACCCATAATGCTCTATTCCAGGATCGATCCCGTATTCTCTTTTCATCGACTCGAAATATTCCCATCCTTCATCAACCATACCAGAAATGCTACATGCTGCTAATAGTGAAGCAAAGGTGCTCTTGTTTGGATCTACTTTAGAAGCAATCATCTCTGAGAATAAGCAAACCGAAATTCTCCCAAAACCGTGTACTGCATAGGCCATGATGATGCTGTTCCATGAAACAACATCCTTTAACAAGACGTGGTTGAAACATTTTCTTGCATCCTCAAGGTCACCACACATGGCATACATGTGAACGAGTGAATTCAAGATGATAGTGTTTGACCCGTATCTAGACTTAACTATATAAGCATGAATTTGTCTACCTTCACTCAAGGATAGAGATTCTGCATAAGCTGGTAGAATACTAGCAATTGTTGTGGAATCAGGTAGAAGCGATGAATCCCAGAGTTTTTGAAATAGCTCCAAGGCTGAATAGTTCTTCCCGTTCTGCACATAAGCAGCAATAATCGAGTTCCATGAGATCAAATTCTTTTCAGCTATTCGATCAAATATAACCTCAGCTGATTTTAACTGCCCCCATTCTCCATACATATCAATCAGAGCAGTATCCAATACTATATGAGGAAGAAAGCCTCTCCTCATAGCATACCCGTGAATTGTTCGACCCTCCAAGATTGCACAAGCAGGAAGCAGATTGATCAATGTAATAACATCTGGCTGCAACCCATTTTGCTCTGACATTTTCTGAAAGCAGAGAAACGCATCAGTGACTCGGCTGTTTCTAGCATAACATCCTATCAAAACATTCCAAGCTACGATGTTCCTCTGGATTATACATTTAAATATTCTCTCTGCATAACTCACTTCACCATATTTACTGTACATGTCAAGGATTGATGTCATTACCATAACATCACCAGTTTCAATTCTACTTCGAACAGCGTGGCAATGTAACTCCTTTCCCATGTTTGGACTATACACATGAGAACAAGCACCAAGAGCGCTCATGGTACTGAACCTGTCAGGCTTAAACCCAAATTTCAGCATTTCTTTAAATAGCATCAACGAGCGAAAGCCATCTTCAAGCGCAAGATATCCAGAAATCATGGAATTCCACGAAACAATGTCTCTCTCAGGCATTTCTTCGAACACTTTCTCTGCATCCCAAGAACACCCAAGCTTCATGTACAAAGATATAAGAGAATTACAGACGTAAACATCTGAAACAAACCGAAGCTTGATCACCATCGCGTGAATCTTCTTCCCTTCTTCCAATGACGAAATTCCTGTAACCGATTTAATCACGAAAGGATAAGTAAAGGAATCAGCTTTGACCCCTGAAAATACCATTCTGCAATAAAGTTGAAGCGCTTCAAAGTATAACCCACAGCTAGTGAAACCTTTAATCATCACATTCCACACAAAAGTATCAGCTTTGTTCATTTCATCGAACAGTTGGAGTGCATCCTCCATGAGACCAGAATCAGCGAAACCACGTAAAGCCCGAGTGAGCGCAGGATCATTGAGCTGCTTAGTTACCTTGTATCGGTCTCGAAGAACTAGCCGAACTGGTTTCGAGAATCTTGAGTCGAATTCGAGACTTCGTTTCCCCGTGGTCTGGTGATTCTCGGAAGAAACACACTTGCACGCGTCGCAATTGTAGATACGGTAGCAACGAGACAGAAGAGTCGCAGCCATGAATTCCGGCGAAGTCGCACCGGAAAACTGAGAGAGTTCAAGCAAATTTGCCTGTCGTCGTCGTCTTTTGCATCTTCATTTTCCCGCGGGAAAATGTTTTGTTACCCTCGTAAAAACCAGTCTACAATGACGTAATTAATCCTTTTTTTTTTGGTGTTTAAAAAAAAAAGATAAATTCTGAATTACCACAAATTCTCCATTTTTAATGTCTATGAACCTTAGAAGTATATGATTTTATGCGACGAATTATGATGATCAAATATGTATAATTTACACAAACATATAATGTTGAGACTTAATTGAACAATGAAAAACCATGTGGTAAATCAAAATACATAAAGGGTTTTAAAGGGACCGAAAAATTATTTACAAATTCTTTTAGAGGAGTTTTCTTTCAAGAGAAGAAGTCTTCATGGCTATTACCATCTTCATCATCAGTTGCATCATCGCTCTGATCATTGAAGGTAAGAATAAGATCAAGAAGTTCTCTTCCAGTGGCTGAAGATGATTCTCCTTCTCTCTCTGGACTACTACTGCTCCGGTTTTGCAGCGAGAAGAGTTGTGCCAATAGTTCCTGCGGTGAAGAGACACGGTACATCCATCCCCTAGGCGTTCGCTTGCGCTGGAACACACAAATTTCAAACAATATTCAATCATCATCATCATCATCATCATCTTGATGACTGCCACTAATACTATCAACATTCGTCTCACTACCACCACCATTATTATCCATATTGTTATCAATTTCAATAAAACATTCATCATCACTATCCATGTCATCAACATCATCATCACTATCCATGTCATCATCAGAATCATTATCATCTAGTCCACTGCTATAATCTGAATCATCATCATCCTCAGCATCATCAATTGATTCATCTTCCCCCTCGTTCCCATCAATACCAATATCCATTCCATTACCAAATAATTCGTCGTCATAATCATGGAAGCTAAGAAACGATAACCAAGGAATGCGAAAGCGACTCGGTAACTGGAAATTTTTTAAACAAAGCAGCAGTAGCCAAATTAGTTTGATGTCATAGTATAAATGTCAATCATTGCACCTTATTGGTTTCATCAATTAGAGAAGGTTCTAGCACGAAGGAAAATAAACTAAAACAATCAAGTCTTAAGTAATGGAAAAGTAAAGCATACCAGTTCGATGTTTTCAGGTAATGTAGCTCTCTCAGCTGCCTTTGACGTCCACACCTTGATGTCACTTTCAATTCCACTGCTAGCAAGCACAGGAATATGCGGATGAGGCTCAATACAGTTAACCACATGCCTATCTGCTTCCATAACACGGATAAGCTCCCCACCTTTTTTCCTCCAAATAAATATCCGCCCACAGTCTGACCCACTAACCACATATTCAGACCGAGGTCCAAAAAAATTCACACCCTTAACCGTCTCAGAGTTCTTGTGCCCCTTATAAACCAAAGGAACTGAGTGTTCGTTCTCATCTTTTGGGGAAGAAGCTGATTCTGATTTTGAGACACTACTCTTGGATATCGGGGAGGATGGGATAGGGTTAGACCCTAATCCCATATCGGGTGTGAAAAGATAGATGAATTCATCATTGTACGAAACAAGAAGCTCGCTTTGCTCTGAGAAAGCCAAACCCGTTATTCCAACTTCTTCATTGCCAATAAGATGTGGAGGGCAAAAGTGATCTGCGGCTCGTGTAAAACCATTTGAACCGTCACCCTGAAATCTACGGACATCATAAAGACGAGCGTACACGTCCATTCCCCCAACAGCAAAGAGGTTAGAATTTCTCGGGTCAATCGCAATAGCGTTTAGCTGGATGGCTTCCATGTTCCTCCTCCTAGGATCAACTGATTGACAAGTGAAAAGTTCTGTAGGGGCTTCAGTCCTTAGATCAAACTGAAAATGGGCAACATTCAACAATCCAATTTCTTTAATCAAATAATAAGGATACTAAAGTAGATATCCAAAAAATAATGCAGCTACTACTCACTCGTTGTACTAATCCATCTTCACCACATGTATAAAATATATGTGGGTTTCCTGGCTCTATACATAGCTTATGAGCTCTTCCTTGATGCAATCCCAAGAAAGACGTCTCAACTTTATCACCCTCAAGAATACTTGCACGCCGAACCTAAAGATGTTTGAGATTTAATCTAAGTAAAGTGTGCCACAAACATAAAACAGAGAGTTTCTTAAAGCAACTCAAAGGATTTACCATTCCATCAGCAGCACAGGTAACAATGGTTCGATCATCAGAGAAAGGCATAAACTTTGCTTGAAATACGTTATTAGCGTGTCCTGAATGGAACGAAAGCTTAACATTCCCAAGTTGCCAATCCCAAAGAACGACACGCCGATCATCGGAACCCGAAATCAGAACATCTCCTTCTGCATTGAAACTCACTGTGTTTACACACCCTTTGTGCTTCTCTAGCTTCTTGTATATCTCTAGACGCAGAACCAAATTCTACATATACATGAACAATTGAGAATTATGAATCAATGGGTTTTATTTTCAAGAAATCATAACAATAATTAGTCAATTGGACGATACTACTAAATCCACCAATGAGACTCGAAGAAGAACCATAAACTTCAAAACTTTCGAATCCAATAGAGAAACACAAACCTCGGAGGCGGAGAAGCGATTGGAGAAATTACGAGAGGAGATTCCACCGACCTCTCGTCGCCAGAAATCAACAACAGGGTGATGTAATCCGTTGAAATTTAATCGACCTTTCTTCGCTTTCTCACTCATCTTCCTATGAAATCAATGGTAATTGGAGAAAGTTTTTCACGGTTGATGAAGCTATAGACCAGAGAGAAGATTCTCTAATTGCTCTGTATCTCGCCGTGAAATTACTACTTCGGAGGTCCCAGAGAGAGAAGAAGAAGCGTAGTGTAATGCGTAAAGCCCATCGCTGGAAGAGAGGGGATTCTTTGGCCCAGTTTAAAGGTGGCGCGTGTTATCACCTTATTAGTATTGGGCTTTTTGGGCTTCTTAATGAATATTTAGTTTTTTATTATTTTGGAGTTTCTTATTTTCTTTACATCAAAAAAAAATTTTGGTAAAAAAAATCAACGAGATTAATATAAAGAAATGTGAAATTACAAATAAACAATACAAACAAGCCTTGATTAATTATTCTCACAAAACACAATTATTCACAAATTTATTGAGGGTTTTTTCAAAGGAATTTTTGGTTTAGTTCTTCTTTAGCTAGGATTCAATCTCTCATATCCTTCTTTTAAGATAGATACGAGATGATAAGAGCATCTCCAATGATCCAATGATGAGAAACTATAGAAATTTCTCAAATATAATAATTTAATACTTTTGTAATAAATAAATTATTTGTTTAAATTTTAATTAATTAAAAAAAGCTTTAACCAATAAAATGATGCTAAGTGTTAAACACAATGTCTTACAGTTTCTCAAATGAGACATTGTGTCTCATTCTCTCTCTTACTTTTAATTATTATTATTTTTTTAATTCTTTAGACACTCCTTGAAATACTCCATTGGAAACGCTCTAAGAGACTGAATATCATCAATGTCCCGAACCTCATATCGAGCAAAGCCAGCTTCTTTAAGAACAAAGTCCCATTCTTTCAAAGTTCGTTCTTTCCCTGTGCTTGTGTGAACCATCATCACCATGTCAAGCTGCAATCTCACGTGCTCTAACTTGTCATCTCTTTCTTCTACTACCATAGTATTTTTCTTCTCTCCGATAACACACTCCACTATCAACAGTTTGCCGACATTTGGTGGGACAGCTTCTTTGCAATTCTTCAATATCTTTATGCAATCTTTGTCTCCCCAGTCGTGTAACACCCACTGCACCCCATTCAATTATCACATTTTACGTATTAGACCACGTTTGTCTTTTCCCACATACTTTTGATAAAATCTGCAAATTTTTATTGAAAGCGCACCCAAAAAAAAAAAAAAAACATGAAAATGACATGACAATGCAATTTCTCCATGTTGTTTAGTATATTAAAATATCTGGTTATTGGTTAACAATATCTGGGGAAATTAGTAGTGTTTGCTTTATTTGTTGGGTACTTGATAGTGGTTCTACACTTTCTATCAATTGATTCGCTACTTTGGTGTAATATCTTCATTATTCATGTTTTTGGAATGGTAAAAATAAATACTGAAATTTAAACATCCAACTTTTCCAAAAAAATTTGGTTAGACATCCGAACCCTTTTGATAGTTAATCAAAAGAAGATCTAAGAGTATGTAAATAGAGTTAACCTTGATGATAACAGCGTCGCATGCGGGAATAGAATCAAACATATCGCCCTCAACATTCTCAACACCGTCCAAGACTTGAGCAACTTCAATAACATGAGGAAGATCAAAGTTGAATCCTTTGATCCAAGGAAACTCCTTCACAAGTATCCCCATCGTATCTCCCGTACCTCCTCCTACGTCAACCACCGTAGCCACGCCGTCAAACAAGCCGTGACAAGCTCCCGCTACACGTGGCATCACAAGCCATGGCCTCGTTGATTAGCTCGCTGTGGCACGGATTATCTTGTGCGAATGACCACAGATCCTTACCGTGCACTGCATCAAACGGTGGTGGAGTTGAACCGTTGGCCGGTGAAGAAACGACTGAGCTCAGCTTCAACCATGGAGCAAGCATCTCGGGACTTGTTTCCAAGAGAAGCAAAGGAGCCTCCGATTTTCCATCACGTTTTGTGATCATCATACGGCGAGAGAGTGGCGTGTTAGTGTATCCTGTGGCTAAACCATCTTTTGTGGGGACTTCTTTGAAGAGTCCTTGGTGCACAAGAAACCTCATTATACGGCGGAGATGTGAAGGAGAAGCAGAGACGGCAGAGGAGCGTTCGGTTAGTGTCACGGGCTGTGACGAAGGATGGTTTTCAATGGCTTCTGGTATTTTAAGATCAATGGCACACTTTGCAGCTGCAATATCCGCAAACCCAAAGACATACCGCCATATATCTAAAGAAGCTTTCATCTAATAAGTTTCTTTTACTTTCTTCCATTTTGTTTCTATCAAAGATTTTGTTAAGTAAATTAAAAGACAGGTGATTTGATTTGAGGAATTAGGTTTCCTTTATAGTGATTAGAAAATAGAGGCATATTAGTAGTTTTGGTCTTATAAACTATAAAGTTTATTAATTCAATAATCCAAACTTAGTTTATGATCATTGTTTTTCTTATGGGTTTATGACTTTCGATCACCGAATATTATAGATTATTGTCAACAAACGAACACATATCAGCGTACCTGTCGAATATCTCGGACACACGTTTATATATGAACTTAGGGACATGTCTTTTTTTTTTTTTTCATCGAACTTAGGGACATGTCATGTGCGCTTCATAACGCAGAATGCAATCGGTAAGCCCGTCGCTGGAAAAGAGGCGATTCTTTGGTCCAATAAGAAGGTGACGTGTGTAAATCACCCTCGTTAGTAATGGACTAATGGGCTTTTGGGCTTCTTATGAACAGAAATACGATTTACACAATATTTTTTTTTTTTTGTATATTTATTGTAAGTTGGATCAAATTAAAATATTTCTCACTCTATATCATGCTGTTTTGGAAATTAAACTCGATAATGGTTGCAACAAAATAGTCGATCGATTGAGAAGGATAAACTCCATGGATGTACTGTGTGAAGCTATTAATCTATGAAGTTAGTTTTCTTATCAAAATCAAAATCTCATTGTAAGTTGTAAAGTTGTTGTAACCAATTAAAACTAAGCAAAAATAGACTTAAAGGTCCAACTATGGGAGAACTTGAGTTGCAATACAGTTAATGAAAAGAGAATAGCAAAAAAAAAGGTTTATAAAGAAGTAAAAAATATATGGAAATTTGATAATAGGTACTTGTACAGTTGTACTAGATGAAGTGGATTTGGTTTTAATGTTATAGTTGAGAAACTGAATCAAGTTCAAAAAAAAAAAAAAAAATTGTACGTTGGGGATTGTAATGATTTGGGTTGGAGTTGGACCTCTTCTTTACACTAAAATATTTTTATCTCCCTAATCCACTAACACTGTCATCATAACCACGTAATATTTGGGTCTTTTTGTTGGACCACATCTTGATGTTGACAGTATGAATGAGAACCTTAAGGTATTTATTGATACATATAGTTTTCATTATTATCAATAATTATATTTTTCCACAAAATCAATATTTTACAAGATAATTTAAAATAATTTGGAAAACTAAGCAAGTTAATTTTTAATTTGTTTTCATGTTAATAATATAATTGTAAGATTCCACATTGTATAAGATTATCTATATTTATTGATACATATAGTTTTCATTATTATCAATAATTATATTTTTCCACAAAATCAATATTTTACAAGATAATTTAAAATAATTTGGAAAACTAAGCAAGTTAATTTTTAATTTGTTTTCATGTTAATAATATAATTGTAAGATTCCACATTGTATAAGATTATCTATCTTATATAGCCTTTAACAATAAATAAAAGCAAATAATAGGTGAAAATCCTTATGTCAACATACAATCAACGAAATTAATGAAAAAAACATGTGAAAATACAAATAAAAACAACACGGCTGATACTGAAACAAGCCTTAATTATTATCACACAACACAATTATTCACACGTCGTTATGTATATACCACATTACCACCAAACAACAACCACAAATTTATTGAGTTTTCAAAGGAAAGATATATCTTTCATGACCTTCTTTTAAGACCGATACGCGATGATAAGAGACTGAACATCATCAATGTCCCGAACCTCATATCGAGCAAAACCAGCTTCTTTAAGAACAAAGTCCCATTCTTTCAAAGTTCGTTCTTTGCCTGTGCTTGTGTGAGCCATCATCACCATATCAAGCATCAATCTCACGTGCTCTAACTTGTCATCTCTTTCGTCCACTATCATCGTCTTTTTATTCTCTCCGATCACCGATTCTACTATCAATACTTTCCCGTTATTTGGTGGGACCGCTTCTTTGCAATTCTTCAATATCTTTATGCAGTCTTTGTCTCCCCAATCGTGTAACACCCACTGCATCCATTCAATTATCACATTTTACGTATCAGATATATAAATATAATTTATTTAAATATGATTGAAGCCCTACATTAGAGTATTTATATCAAGATTTTTCAAATAAAAAAAATTAATGCTGGAAAACTAAGGAATTCAATACAGAACCAACTATAAGTTTCGTGCTTTCCTATCTACTTTATGAGAAGTACTTATACTGTATTGTTAATGCTGAATAAAAAAAAATACTGAAAAAATAAAATGATTTGGAGAAAATGCGCAAAACAAATCCTTAAAGTGAGATTCTGTTCAATTTTTAATATATAAAAGATGTCTTATATATGTACTGTATTGGTTAATAATATCTGGGGAAATTGGTAGTGGTTGCTTTATTTATTTGATACTTGATAGTGGTTGTTAACTTGCTCTCAGTTGATTCGCTACTTTAATATGTCATATCCAAATTATTCAGGTTTTAATGGAAGATGGTAGAAAATAAATATTAAATGTCTACATCCAAATATTTTCAATTTCTTTTGTCTGTTTGAAAAAAATCGGATTTTAGAAACAGTAAGCTCGACAATTGTTGACAAAAACAAAAATGCTTTGACAGAAACAAATTAACTTAATTAGAATTAAGAAAAAATTCGTTTTCACTTCTTTTTATATAACTTATTTGTTACCGAGCATACCGACTGCAAAACCAGTGGCTAGTACCTAGACCCTAGTAGAAGTGTTAAAAAAAAAAGTGTAGAACCATCGAATCTGTCGGTTTTACGAACTTTTAATTTAAACTCTACGTGCAACCGAAAATCTATTTAAAAAAAAAAACTAAAAAAATCATTTAAAAAAAGGGAATAAAGAAAAGGACAACTACAAGTTTTTAAAATAGAACGTAAACACAAACGTAATACAAAAGAAACAGATAATAATGTATACTTAATAGTTAATACTGTATAGCTTAGTACGAGGCTGATTGCGAAGTTAAAAGAATGATGAATTTCTAACATTTTACTTTAAAATTAAAAGGTTAGTTTATAACAATTAATTCAATTTATTCTTGTCTTTTATGTGAAATTTGATTTTGAATACTAAATTAAATGAAAAATGTAAGAAAAAATTAAACTAGATTTTAGTGAATACTATTAATCAGAGAATAAAGAGTACGGAAGTAGATATAACCTTGATGATAACAGCGTCGCATGCGGGGATAGAATCAAACATATCGCCCTCAACATTCTCGACACCGTCCAAGACTTGAGCAACTTCAATAACATGAGGAAGATCAAAGTTAAATCCTTTGATCCAAGGAAACTCCTTTACGAGTATCCCCATCGTCTCTCCGGTACCGCCTCCTACGTCAATCACCGTGACCACGCCGTCAAACAAGCCGTGACAAGCTCCGGCTACACGTGGCACCACGCGCCTTGCATCACAAGCCATGGCTTCATTGATCATATCGCTGAGGAACGGATTATCCTGCGCGAACGACCACACGTCCTTACCGTGCACTGCATCAAACGGTGGTGGAGCTGAACCGTTGAACGGCGAAGAAACGACTGAGCTAAGTCTCAACCATGGAGCGAGCATCTCGGGAGTTGTTTCGAAGAGAACAAAAGGAGCCAGCGATTTGCCATCACGTTTTGTGATCATCATACGGTGAGAGAGTGGCGTATTAGCGTAGCCTGTGGCTAAACCATCTTTTGTGGGGATTTCTTTGAATATTCCTTGGTGTACAAGAAACCTCATTATACGGCGGAGATGTGAGGGAGAGGCGGAGACGGCGGAGGAGAGTTCGGCTAGTGTTACGGGCTGTGAAGAAGGATGGTTTTCAATGGCTTCTGGTATTTTAAGATCAATGGCACACTTTGCAGCTGCGATATCTGCAAACCCAAAGATATACCTCCATATGTCTAGAGAAGCTTTGGCTTCTTCATCTAGTACTCTTCTTTTAGTTTCTTCCATTTTTTTCTATCAAAGATTTTGTTTAGTAGATCTAAAGACAGGTGAATTAGAGTTGAGAAATTAGGTTTTTTTTATAGCGATCAGAAAATGGGGGCACAATAGTAATTTTGGTTTTATAACGACACAGTAGTAATTTCTGAACCGGACTGAACCCAACATGTTCAATGAATTTAGTGTGTCAATAAATTTATTGTTCGACATCAATATGACATTTAAGAATTCGATTAAATATTTTTTTATTAAGATAGAAGTTCAGACCACCTGGTATTTTGTTAGTTTACCACTCATTTCTTTTTTTTTTCTTTTTTTTTTTGTGAAGGTTTACCACTGTCGATTACCGAATACTATAGACGAATTATTTGTCTTTGTTTGCATTTGCAAAACAGATTGTGAAATTAACCCTTAATGAATTATATTGATTTATTTTTTGTGGATTCCTACTAGATTAAAGACTTAATTAGTCTCAAGCTAGTAACAATTAAAATATGTAAAAAGACCGACGTTATTAGATAAAATTAAATAATACTAGTCGAGACAAAAGGAATCGACAAGCTTCGGTGTTTTGGCCTACCAACTTTGATCAACCATTCCGTCTTGTATATTACATGAAACTTACGATTAATGACTATGACTCGTTTTTTTCTTTTTTTTTTTAACTATGACTTAAATTTTACTCTCTCTTTCATTATATAAGATGTTTTAATGATTTTATTTTATTTTATATATATTATAAGATGTTTTACAAATTTCTATATAAATTTAAATGTATTTGACAATTTGTGACCATTAATATTATGCAGTCTTTTTTTATTGATTTAAAACTTTTATAATTAAATATAAATGTTATTTAAAAAAATAATAATAATAATTTAAATATATGTACATTTACCTTAAACATTTTTTTATTTTGAAACAGAATACTAGACATGTCAATTAGGGCCAAAGCCCGCGGGCTAGCCCGGCCCAGCCCTGAAAAACAGTGGGCTCGGATTTCAAATTATATGTCCAGAAAAAACCGGGCCTTTCGGGCTAAAGGGTTTTCTGGGCTTAGCCCGGCCGGGCTCGGACTAGCCCGAAAAGCCTTTTAAAAAATATTTTGACCCTTTTTTGTTAATATTTTCGTTTAATTGTAAGATTTGTTGTAAAAAATTTTTTTAATAGAGTTAAAAACCATAAACTTAGCTTTTTGTTGTGTATTACTATAAATCGAAAAAGTAAATATTAGCTCTACTACCTAATTTGAATTATTTTGATTTTATATTTTATCTAGTATAAGTTTAAACAATTTATTTGGATTATTTATTTGATTTTAACTCTCTTTTAAAAAAACTAAATTAGCGTTATTGGTTATTTAAATTTTGATTGACTCGTTTCATATATAGATTATTTTTTAAGAGATATTAGAAATTATAAGTTTGTTTTCTGTTATCGGAAGAAAAGCCTAAAAAAGTCCGGAAAAGCCCTGTAACCCTGTTAGAGCCAGACTGGGCTTTAAAATATAGGATCGGAATTTTTATGGGCTGGACCGGGCTCAAATATATACGGATTTTGCGGGATTTGGGTCGGGTCGAGTCGGATTAGCCCGATTGACATGCCTATAGAATACCTAATTTAGACTTAAACCTTTCCTCTTAATATAATGCATTCACAAGCTCTGTTCAACCAGACGAACACATATCAAAGTAGCTGTCAAATGTCTCGGACATGTGTCATTTGCACATGAAAAAGAAAATCCTCATGCAGAAAGACTTCTATTATACACGTACACATGTACATCAGTACATGGATGATGTTTCTATTGCAAGTTGATAAACTACTGTGACGATATAATTTCAGTTCAATTAGCCTTGCTTTGAATATATATCAAAACATACTGGGGTAGTATCATCTTTAATATATATATATATATATCAAACTACTGTGACGATATAATTTCAGTTCAATTAGACCATATATTAAAGATGATACTACCCCCAGTATGGACCCTATGCGGCTATGCGTGTCTTGGTTTCCTTAGATATATTAATGGTAGTGCCAAAATAATGTTTAATGTAATTTTGCTAAGCCAGAAAATTACAGATGCACAACTAGTGTGGGTGGGGTAAGACGACAAATTTTTTAACCGTGTTTACTGTCACTATTGTCTATAGATATGCATGTACGCTTGTTAAGTCACTTATTACGAAAGGATTAATGAATTATATATCATTAATGTATTAAAATTTGCGATTAGCGTTTGACGACGCTTTGTAAGAAAGGACTTCTTTCAATTTACTAATAGAAAGCTTTAATCATGGAAGTAATGAAATTGCGCTAATCTCATGTGATCTGTGGACGTCAAAGATTTTTTTTTTTATAAAATTAAACTCCGTGGTGGAGTGTCGCTAATCTCCTGTACTGTTGCTTTTTAAAACTTTTTATGTTTTCATGCATTTTATATGGTAACAAAAAAATGCATTAAGATGCAAGATTGTAATTGAATATAGGCATATAGTAAGAAAATATATATTAAAAAGAAAAATTAAAGGAGGTTTATTAGTTGTGTCAAGTTGGAAAAACAAAAGTTCAAATTTGGCTTTGCAAATATTAACTATTTAGAACATTGTTATTTCGAACGCATTTCTACTCTAACTAGTAGTTAAAACTTAAATGTTTCATTTTAAATCCATTTCTTAATTTGGCTTTGCAAATATTAAATTTTTTGAAAAAATCTAAAACTTCCAAGGATTTTCCAAATCAATGATATAATACACAACCAATAAATTCCTCTAAAATTGAAAAAGTAGAAGAGTTTGCATATTTGGATGGCATCTTTGATATTTGTGATCACAAAAAAATGTTGAATCAGAGCATGGACGGCTTAAATACAAATATCCTACACATCTTATCACTTGACATGATCATCTGAAGTCCTTTTTTTAACATGTTAAAAACAAGGTTGGTGGTGTGACATATCTATTCTTGGTGGAAAATATTTCAAAAACACCAGTACAATATTTTGTCCGAGACTTTTGATGCCGGGACCATGATCATGCTCGATATTATGTCTCTAGATTTTGCCTTCATTGGATATGATATTTGTTCTCTTCAATTTGTTGTTGTCAACCAAACTCTTCAATTAGAGTGGATTGCCAATTACAAACACATTAAGTATTTAAGTATTCACAACTTCGGACCTATTCCTGAAATCGTTTTCCATCAAATATCATTTTCTTATATGTCTTTCAATCAAACACCATTTATGCCTTCGACATAATAAAGACCTTTAGTCAAACCAGAGAATTAACGGGACATGAGTTATTTAAGAAAGCTTTAAAATTCTTCCGTTGCTTATATGTTATAGTAACTTATAAACAATTATGTATTCTAATTTAATTACATAATTTAATACCGTTTTTTTTTATTCCATCCTATAAATTCTAAACTGCTTTCCCTACCCAAACCATCCAAATATCAAAGCAAATAGAAGTCAAAGAGAGATGGGAAACAATTCAAGAGCTATTTTCTCTTTATTCTTAGTTGTAGCCATATGTGCTGCAATTTTAATCACTCCTGGAATAGCTCATGACGACAAAACACCGCCGCGCTCACAATTTCCACCGGATTTTCCTATTGATTTGGAAAAATGTTGGTCATCACTTTTCAATACTCAGGGATGCGTATTCGAACTTTTAAAGTCAGTTTTTTCTGGTCAGTTTGGAAATGTTGGAGTTGCATGTTGCAAAGCATTCTCGACCATAGATGCTAACTGTTGGCCTCATATGTTTCCGTTAAACCCATTCTTTCCACCTTTGCTTAAGGACAACTGTGCGCACATCGTCCCCAATTCCCCCACAACCAAGTGAAAGCGAAGAATCAAGTGACTTGATGCTTTATAATATAGTCGAATTAGTTTAGTAATCTAAGGAAATTCTTCTATACATGTTCTAAGTGCCATATGAATATCATCCAATAAAGTCCATTTGCGTAGTAAATTAATTAAAATTATGGTAATTTATTAATTTACTCTATTCTGTCTTTTTTTTTTTTGGTGAATTACTCTATTTCTGTCTTTGTTCACGAATAAAAGATTTAATAACTTATAGATTAGTTAGCAAATTCAAGAGACTTATACAATAAAATAGCTGAATCTTGTAGTTTAATTGATGGAAGTGGCGAAATAAATGAAAGATCCACAATTGACCCAAAAATCACAATAACTATTTTTTTTTAATATCACAAAACTTAACGTAAGTAATTCTGTATGATATAATTTGCATTTGAGAGATACATTAAAATGATATATTAATTCTCGCTATTTTTAATGATATATAAACCAATAAAACAACACTACCGAATATGTCACAGTTCGATCATATAGCTTTTTAACGTGTAATAGAAACACACTTCGATTGGCCATTTATTTTTATATTTAAGTTTGAATTGTAGTTTTCTATATTACGATTTTTTTTTTTCTTGGTCAGCATCACCCGTTACTCTCAATAGTAATTTCTTTCGTTTCTTGCACTGATTTCCCATTTCATTTTCCCAACTTCTAAAATAGAGGTCACAACAAAAATATTATAAAATTTCCAAATCAAAATCAAAAGCTTAATTTATTGAGAAGGAGATGAGAACGTGGCCGGCTAGATCTTCGCCGCAAAAGACGAGGAAGCCGGTTTACGTCGTGCATAGCCCACCAAACACAGACGTAGACAAGTTATCAACCGGATCAGGTTTTAGCCCATTCGGGTCACCCCTTAACGATCAGGGTCAGGTCAGCCACTTCCGTCATGACTCGGTGGCCGAGTCATCTTCGAATCCACGATCGTCAGGACCATTGAGAAACGAGTACAGAAGTGTCCAAGTGCATGATCTTGACCGTCGAATCCATAAAGATGAAGATTACGATGAAATGGACGGCCCAGATGATGAGAAGAGGAGAAGGGTGATGAGGTTTTACTCGTTCTTGTTGTTTACGTTGGTGTTGGCCTTCAATCTTTTTTGTCTCATTTTGTGGGGAGTTTCCAAATCTTTCTCACCTATTGTCACTTTGAAGGTAATTGATCTCTTCGAACACAAATTTTAGGTAAAATTTTTACATTTTCTATTATCCAAAATATAGTTTTATGAAGTATAAGAAGAAATAGTTTTCGGTTTAGATTGTGTTTAGCTATTACATTAATATTTTGCCAAAAAAAATAATTTATTAATTGATGACAAAGATGCATGTCATGACTATGGGGCGATTGGTAACGACTTTTAATTATCGCTGTAGAGATTTTGACTGTAAAAGCTTTCGCTGTAGAAACTTTTGCTTTAAGGACTTTGACTGTATAAATTTTATAACTGATTGGTAAAGAATGTGACTGTAAAAATTACAATTTTAAATAATTACCAAATATATAGGAAAGTGGATCTTAATAGAACAAGAAAAAAAATTAATTGTAAATAAACTAAAATTTTTCAAAAGTTAATTTATTTGTGAATGTTATGAGAGTTTACATGTATATGTGAAAAGAAAAAAAAGAAAAACTATAAGCTTTTAATTTATTTATTTCTAAAGTCTCATTTAGGTGACTTTAAAAAAAAATTGAAAACAAAGAGTAAAAAATAAAAAAGAGACTTTGAAGGCTTTAAAAATTTTTAAAGCCAAAAAAACTTGATTGGGGAAAATAGACTTTTAAAACTTTTAAATTTTTTCTAAAGCCTTAAAAGTCTAATCCAATCACCCCCTATATTCCATTGCGTTCATTTTAATAATTTATGTCAAAATCATCAATTTAATTAGAAAATTTGTGGAGTTAATTTTTTAATAATTTTAAATTTTTTTATAAGAAAATAATTATACAAAAAAATATCATATAAATGGATTTTTTTTGGGTATGAAGTATACAAATGGATTTGCAGGTAAATGAATATAGAAAAACTTATTTATATAGGTATTGACGTATTGTTAAACAGAGACGGTTAGGAGATTTAAAAAATAATTTTGCCTAAATAACTTTTCTATCACAAATTGAATATTCACAAAATTAATCAGGAGATGGTATTGGAGAGCTTGAACGTGCAGTCCGGGAACGACCAATCGGGAGTAGTCACAGATATGCTAACCCTAAATTCAACGGTCAGGATCTTATATAGAAACCCCGCAACTTTTTTCACTGTCCACGTCACCTCCTCTCCCCTCCAGCTCAGCTATTCCCAGCTCATCCTCGCGTCCGGTCAGGTAAACCATCTCACATCTTATTAATTAAACCGGACCAGTTATTGATTCTTTTGAACTAAATTAATTTCCCTTTTTTTGTTTGTTGTGTGACAAAAATAGATGGAAAAGTTCTCTCAACGAAGGAAAAGCGAGAGAATCATTGAGACCAAAGTTTTAGGGAATCAAATTCCTCTGTACGGAGGCATACCGGCTCTTTACGCCCAACGAGCTGAACCGGACCAAGTCGTTTTGCCTCTTAATCTGACATTCACGTTACAGGCTCGAGCCTATGTGCTCGGCCGATTGGTCAAGACTAAGTGTCACTCGAATATCAAATGCAGCATCACTTTTTATGGCGATAAACTTGGCAAGACACTTGATCTCTCCAAGTCTTGTTCTGATCATTGACCAAAATGAACAGCATCATGATCTGTTCTGATTTAGAGAAGATTATATTATTTCATGATTTAATCGGTGAGATATACATGTAAAGAGGGACGAAATTGTTTTAATCTTTATTCTTTCAGTACCTCATCTTTCATTGTCATAGAGCGTGTAGATACTCAATATATTTTGGAATTAACACTTGTTATAGTGTTGTCATCAATTTCTTTATAAGATTTGATCGAAATCAATAATTACAAAATTTGAATAATTTAATTGATTATATTAATAATCCCAAGGTTACCTCGTATGCCACGAATCCTATTTACATTCTAAACAATTGCAAGAATGCTTTAGGGGCTGAAGAAGTTTGCATGCAACCCCTTTTGAGCCAAACGCATAGCCGAGGCAACCAAAAGCAAGACGCTGAGAGAAGCACCTAAGCAACCCACCAAAACGTTGAACAACCACATTGGGCTTTTCCTTTGGGGCTTTTTGATAGAGATCCACATGAAACATGGATACGTAAACGTCACAAGCAAGGCTATTGCTCCGATAAGAACCGCCAGATAAGGCAAGAACGGGAACCCAACGGCTATAGAGAAACAAACCAAGCTCAAAAACACACGCAACATCATCCGGACAACGATGGATGCAGGCTTTTGTTTCTTGGTTATGTAAACCATCTCTATGTTGTCACACGCCGGCATTAAGTTAATCGGATATGAACATAAGCAAGAGAAGATAAACGTTAGGTGTATGAAACAGGCTGCTCGCTTCGAGTGCTCTTGTGTGTAAAGTTTCAAATAGTTGCCTACAGGACCTCCTGTCGCCGGAATCTATTATATATAAAAATTAACATTCAACCATCAATTGTTTCAAACACTTGTGTGTTTACTATTTCTATTTTTGAAACGTAAAAGCAAACATAAACACACAAAAGATGTAGTGTGTTGTGCTTTGACATACCTTGTCTCCGTATGCCCAATATACAACAAACGTTAGTGGAAACATACAAATCGCAACGAGAGCATGAGAGATCATTACTGCTCTCCACATTGTCTTACTTGAAGGGTTCTTTGAATCGGAAGGAAGAGTACCCTACAAATATCACCCCAAAGAAACCACACATGTTAATACCAAACGAAAGATGAAAAATGTTTCGAAAACATCTAATTCATGTTTTAAATGCGAGTTCTCTAAAACCTGTATCTCAAGGACGAGATTGTTCCCGCGATAGACTAGAGCTATCAATCCAATAGCGTTGAATATGTGAACGAAACTTTTATCCGCTGTAGCATACGATACACTGACTTGAGTCTTTTGTGAATCACTAGTTACAGGTAAAATCCATATCACGGTGCAATAAGCAACGCCCATAAAAGCACCGATCAACGAGACTCCAAAAAGAGAATTTAGATTTGGAAACTGAGACATGATCATCGCAATGCAGCTAAAAACCAAGAAGCATTGCACGGAAGTAAGTGGCGCTATGTTGTCTTCAGACATAATTTGTAACAGTTGTTGTAATGATTTCCCTCCTGTTATAACCAGAATCGTACAAGCTCCTCCAGAGAGATACATCACAGGGAATATCCCGAGAAGTTTCCCAAGCTTCGCACCTAATTATAATGTTTCATTACAACATTATAAACGGTTTCAAGAACATAAACTTCACAATAATTCCAAAGCTCAGAAAACGACAAACTCTTAAAATAAATCAAGAGAGAATTGAGAATTTTATTAAATCGTTACATACCAAAAGAATGAATTGCGAGTCTCACGTATCTGCTCATACGTATTCCCGGAACCGCTTCGTGGAGATGAACAAGAAGCCACGTCGTGTAGAGCTTCCATACAAATCCCACCGTTAAGATTATCGTTCCCCATACCCTAGAAAAATAAATAAATCTTTAATTATTCACACACACACAAAAAAATCAAAACGATACTCAAAGCAGAGTCGGAGAAAATAAAGAGAATTATGATTAGATTTATTACCATCCGAGTGCTGCGAAAGCTGCAGGAAGAAGAATCACTTGGAGACCAATACCCGAACAGAGAAGATGAAACGTCGCCGTATATACATTCCCTTTTCTTGATTCCGTGATCGGCAACCACTCTTCTACCGGAATCCTCCCACCATCGCCGCCGTTTTTGTCGCCGGAGATTGGTTGTGGATCCGTGGAGGGGGCTGGTGACATAAATAAAGGAGAACCACCACTTTCTTGTGATTCCAAATCAAACAATTTGGCCAATGCTATAGACATCGTGTAAAAAGTTAACTTTATTTTCCTCTAAGTACTTCAATCACGTTATTTACGTAGAGCCACAGATTGAATGGCTATATATATATTTTTTCTCTGCATTCCTTGGATTTATATAGTATAATTTGTTCGGTGGCTGTGTTAATATATTGACTTTGAATCTCTTTTTCCAAAACATAAATTTTTCTTGGGGAATTGTTTTTTTCTGTTTAAGTGCTCAAGAGAATCTCTTTAACACTAAACAATTCATATCTCTAATTACCATATAAGAAATATATTCTGAACGGTAGAAATTATTACCTATGACATAAGCATTAATGACACGAGAAAGGTGACGTAATCACTTATGTCACTTTCAAATACTCAAAAGCAAGACCCACTGGTATAAATCGAAGTCTTCTAATTTTGTTCGGTAGCTTAAAACTAAAGTCAGGCTAAGAGTTAACCAAACTAGTTTGCCTTAGGTTGTGCTCATTGTTCAATTGGACTTTGATTGCTCTTCGGATGTTTTGGTCAACGCAGGCATCAACTTTGAGATGAGCTCCCTTTATCGTCTCTTTGTATACACGATTAATAAGTATATTAATCAATTAGTTAGTTAAAAAATGATAAACGTGCGAGGTTATTTTGACTCGACTTTTGTTATAAACAAAAATAATTTAAAGTATGAGAAAAAAGTTTATAGAGTAGGATCTAGTCATCTACTTTTACAATTCTAGTTATGTGAAGCCAAAGATTCAAAAGCAGCTTCAAGTCTAGTGGTAAGTGAGGATTAGCTTCAAGTTTAGCTTCAAGCCAAAGTTTGAAAAGTAAGTTTATTGGTAAGTAAGTATATTAGTTGGTGCATTTTCCTTCTATATGCTATAGAATATATTAGTTGGGTGGGAAGCGGAAATCTTGTTTACTTACTATTATAATATGATTATATGAATATGCAAGCTAACCGGATATCGGGTTCGCTTTATATGTTAAAAGTAAAATTAAAACTGCTTAAAAGTATGAAAAGGAAAAAAAATAGCCAGACATGGCTATCTCATTTGGTAATAATTAAGAGATTCAAAACCGAATTAAAGGAAGAAACTTGTATCAGTCAAACTAGCCCTTTGATAAAAATCTATAAGAGCTAAGAAACAATCTATTTACTACGTTGCTATCTCATTTGGACATTTGGTATATTTTTTTCTTTTTTCTTTTCTAGGTCAGGTAATAAGAAAAAGTAAGTGAACTAGTCGATTAAAACCAGTCAAGTAGTCAACTAAAAGTTGAGGAATTCAATTTTCTTAAATCGAGTTGATGATGACCAGAAACATTAAAATATATAAGTTTTGGATAATCCATGTTTAAATCCTTAATTCAATACTCTTTATCTTCTATACAATATCATCTCATTCTTACATGAATAGCAGAATAATGCAGTTGCGATTTGTAAACGAGTAATGGCGCAAGCGCAATAGCTAAGTTAATCAAACCTTCTATTTGAACATTACGTTTTCACAATTACCCAATTCACTTACTAAATTGACTTTGAATTCCCTTTACGTATTCCTCGTGATCATATATCGTAGTATTGAAAAGTCTTAGCAAACGTTTAGGAAATCACCCAATATTGGTCCTTTTTGCGTGTTTTTCTTTTTGAAAGGATAATGTCTGAAGTTGTTGTTTTGGACAGGATGTCAGAAGACACTATGCAAGTGTTTGCTTTTAATTACTAAAAAGTAAAAAGACATTAAATTTATTTTGGAAATTATAAAAAGAATGTCGTTTCGTAGAACTTCACACAAAAGCTCATCAATTCCCACTAACAAAACAGATCGAATAAGACATGAAATAATCAGAAGAATTTGTAAACATGAATGAATATTACGAATTTGATTGACGCAAAAGATTATTTATAATATTTCATTTTTCTTTTATTTGTGAAAAGATAAAATAGATACGGTGATAACTAGTATTACAAAATATATATTTAGAAAATCCAAATTATCTAGTACAAAGTATAAAAATCTGCATGCCAAACTAAATAGATTAAAAAGAAGCAAGTGATTAATAATGGAAAAACATTGTTAAATAAATTTTTAGAAGTATATATTACCGCGTTTGTGATGAAGTATGTTTTCTGACTTTAAGGATTTTCCTTGGTATAGTCACGCTTTATGTAATGATACTCCACATGGATTCCGTGTCGGGCTGAAATAATGTTGTGCCTTGTAGTACGGAGGAATGCAAAAGATAATGACATAAACAGTTATGTCATTTTCAAATACCAATTACTCTCATAACCTTAGCCTTCGCTCTCTTTGTGATACAAGTGGTCATGTGTGGCAACCTTAGCGTTCACTCTCTTTGTAATACAAGTGGTCATGTGTGGCTAACTCAAGTCAAAGACAAGGTTCGTTTGAGTTAGATTGTGTCAAGTTGAATAATTTTAATGAAACAAGTCAGCTTTGGCATTACCAGATTTCTTAGGGGTCGGTCGAGATACTAGTTGATGTTACTTTTGACTCAGCATTTTCTTTATATAAAAAAAGTTTTCAAAATAATAATGTAGCAGTACTCTACTAGTGGTCGAAGTTCCAAAAGTAGCGATAAGTAAAGTGGTCCTCTATTGAGGATTGGCTAGTAGCTAGGTTCCGTTTCTTTATGTGATGTATAGATTATATGAGAAACATGAAAGCAAAATAAATTATACATATTACTACTATATTGCTTTTGGTAATATAAAATCGACATAATTAAAGTAAAAGAAAAACAAATCAATTACTTTAATAATATTCAAAAGTGAGCCTTTATATTCATGGTGTTCTGATATACACAATTACGACGACCTGTAGTAACCAATTGCGAAGACCAAGTAAAACCGAACCAAAACATAAACATAAAATAGTTCCAGTTACGACCAACCAACTTACTTTAAAACATAAACTAATTCTAGAGTGACATATTGCTAAGTGTACAAAACTGCAAATAGTTACACCAGCTAGGTAACAAAGACAACTTACTTCTTTAATCTTAGTTTTAAAAGCATGCGTCGGACCCATCGGAAATTCACACTGGATGGCTATATTTTATTTCAAAGGAAATAATTTGATTTTCGATAGAAATCGCCATCGGATATTCACCCTAACTTTATTGCAAGAAAAAAAAGCTAAAAGAGAGAGAGGTGTGCGCATATATAATATTACAGATTCACTTTATTTCGTATTATATAAGAAAATATTTGTTTCACCTTGTCTATAAGAGCTTTAGCATTAGAGGAACTTTTAGCTAAACAAGTTCTCCTTCACCTAACAATTATTGATTGTATTTAGCATCATATTTTGGGAAAGGTAGTTATAGGGGGAGTTTAGCATTTCTGTGACCGAGTTAAGCATTGATCCGAAAACACATAAAGAAGAAACTATATGTTGTTGTGGTTTAGAAAAGTTGCAACTTGCAAGAGTACATGTAGTGTGTAAACAAACTAATAATGGAATGTTGTGTAAGGCGAAGAACCCTACTTGTTGACACATATACAGCAAGAATATGGGTCATGTTGTGGGATCCATCAAATTTCGCCATTAGTGTGGATCTACCCGAATTCGACACGTCCAGCCAAGGACGAAACATTGACCATGGAGAAAAGTGGAGAAAAACGGTTCGATGGTGATGAATGAACCATCTTCCTAGAAAAGAAAAGAAAAAGATATAGCTAACATTTTTGTTGTAGTATATTGATATTCCAAGTCACTTGACTGGACGAGTAATCATGCCCTGCTTCTTATGAGTAACGGCATGGTACTAATTAAAAACTGCAGTGTGGATGGTTATTTGACAATGGTTGTGGAAAAAGGCCAATAAGGTCGGTAAAATCTCGTGGCAACTTTAAATGGGTCAAATTTAGGTAAGGATGGATTCACATTGTGTATTAGCTACTACTATTGACGCCTTTTCTTATTCAAGAAGTTGTGTTTTCAAATAATACCAAACGCGTTTTCCTCTTTTGATAGGCTGGAAACAGAGCAATTGATGAAAAAAGTTGGTCACGATCTGAATTTTGAATTTGTTTTCAAAGTAAGAAAGCGAATTATTAAACCCGAAATTTAGTGATCATACTTACTTATAAGAGCGTGGTCTACAAATCCACCGCTAAAAGCCATCACAAGCCAAGAAGTTTTCTGATTGTCACATACACGTTTCATGATCGACGAGGAGGATGATGATGGTGAGAAATCGCGACTCGCTCTGCCAAAATACTGCAGCTTAGGAATCACGTTTCGCATCATCTTGCTCACAGAATCGCTAAATTAGGGTTTCTGATTCAGAGTCTTCGAATTGATAAATTAGGGTTTCAGCCCTGTCCGGTTTGGGTTTAACTTCGATTTGGCTTTGTCTCTTTTGATTTCTACAATTTCAGCTCATTTCGTCGAACCGGTGTCCTTCTAATTTCATTCTTATTGGGATTTATAACCCCACTTTTAACAGCAAATCCAAAGATGAAGTAATGAAATTAAATAGTATAGAGAATAAAATTGAACAATGCAAATCTCTGAAAGTCTGAATAGGATAGGGTTCGTGCAAACTCCAAGACTTGTTGAAGAATGAAATTGAATTTCCTAGGTTAATGTTTAATGTTGAGTCATAGAGAAAATTTTGTTAGTAAGATCATTCGTTTTCTATGATTGTTTTGTTTTTACCTTTTTGTCAAAAGTAAAAAAAATCAATGATTGTTTTGTTTTTACCTTTTTGCTCAGGTGGTCTATCATCAACTTTCGAGGCCCCAACCAAAGTTTCTGTATATGCGTTCAACAGCTTGAATATGGACTTGAAATACCTCTCAAAGTCCAGGCCCGTCTTAATATATTAATGGACCCTTAGCAAAACCAAAAGAAAAAGAGAAATTCTTAGTAATTTAAAAAAAAAAAAAAATGAAACAGAGCAAAAACATATTTGAAATGTTTAATTAATCTTCATTGTTTGGTAGGTGATATTGATAATGATGGCATTTGGTTCTTAAGTTTGAAATGATTGTATTTTGCATCATGTTTGGAAAATGTAGTTAAAGTGGAGTTAACATTTCTTTGACCGAGTCAAAGTTAGGCATTGACCCGTTAGGCATTGACCCGAAACACGTACAAAAGAACTGTATGCTGTTCAGATTTTAGAAAAGTAAACTACGTGTCGTCTTAGATATAATCCTACCAAAGCTGCAAGTACGTGTAATGTGTAACCAAACAAACTAATAATGGAATGTTGTGTCAGGAGAAGAACCCTACTTGTTGACACATATACACCAAGAGTATGGGTCACTATGTGGGGATCCATCAAATTTAGCCATTAGTGTGGATCAACCCGAACTCGACACGTTGAACCAAAGGACGAAACATTGAATGGAGAAAAGTGGAGAAAAACGGTTCGATGATGATGAATGAACCATCTTCCTAGAAAAAGAAAAGAAAAAAGATATACCTAACACACGAAGGTCTTATGACATCATCACACCAACTTTGAAAATGAAATTAGGAACGAGAGAAATTTGTTTTCAAATATGTTTTAATGAATGAAAACTTCTTCCCCCAATTTGATTATTAGAATTTAAGAGTTGTTTTATTTGGTTTTGTCACACTTATTTAAGTTTCTTTTGATTTTTAATTGATACTAAAGTGTTTTTTTTTTCTTTCTTTAACCACAAAAGCAACCACTCTTTCAACCATAAAAAGGAAAAGGAGAAAGCTTGTTACTTGATAACAATTGGATATATGGAACAGTAGTGCGTGTCTTTGTTGCTTTGTTACTTTGTTGTGTCTATATAATTTCTTGTCCTATTGTCTAAGCTGCATCACAAAGTGAAACAAGAATGAGTTAGCTTGAACCACACGTTCATCTTCCGAGAAAGAAACTTACTTTCTCCCAAATCCACAAGAAAGAAAAAAAAAAGTAAACTGATTTGGCTAAGAGAATGGAAATAGTGAAGTCGAGGTTCAAGAGGGTTTGTGTGTTCTGTGGTAGCAGCAGCGGAAACAGAGAGTGCTACAGAGATGCTGCCACTGATCTAGCTCAAGAGCTGGTTCGGTTATGCTTAAATCTTAATGAGAGTCTTGAAAACCTGAAATGGCTTTTGATTTTTCTCTGTTTTCTCTGTTTTGTGAAACAGGTGACGAGGAGATTGAACCTTGTGTATGGAGGAGGAAGCATTGGTCTCATGGGTTTGGTCTCACAAGCTGTTCATGAAGCTGGAGGACATGTACTAGGGTATGCTCAAATCTATGACCTCTTCACTTTAGTTTTATGCCCTCCACTGCTTTATTATCGATATAGTTGTGTGATTTGCTTCCATCTTGCTTTGCTTTTATGGGTTAGGATCATACCAAGGACTCTTATGGACAAAGAGGTAGCTTAAATTATGTTTTAGCTAAAATGGTTACTTTGTTTTCAAAAAGAGTTGCCCCTGAAAAGTGATTTTATAACAGATAACCGGAGAAACATATGGTGAGGTAAAAGCTGTGGCGGATATGCATGAAAGGAAAGCCGAAATGGCACGCCACTCGGATTGTTTCATTGCATTACCAGGTACATACTAACTAACTAGCGTAGATATCTAGTAAAACTTGAAAATGTTTTGTCATTCGTTAGGATACAAACTTGAAACTAGGTAAATTTTGATCTTTCTTCCAAAACAAGACTCATTTTGTAATTGACTTTTAATTTCTCTGTTCTTGCAAATGGTTATCAGGTGGGTATGGAACACTGGAGGAGTTATTGGAAGTAATAGCATGGGCACAACTTGGAATCCACGACAAACCTGTAAGTAAAATAAACCGGTATCACTTTCCACTGTTGGAATTGCTCTCTAAATCACACTAGCCAAAAGTCTTGATCTTTTGTGTTTCCACTTTGGGGGAAAAAAACTGCAGGTGGGTTTGTTAAATGTGGATGGTTATTACAATTACCTCCTTACTTTCATTGATAAAGCCGTTGATGATGGCTTTATCAAGCCATCTCAGCGTCACATCTTTGTCTCAGCCCCTAATGCCAAAGAGCTTGTCCAAAAACTTGAGGTGGGTACCCACCAAATTTTTGCTTTGCTTTTCTCTTGAGATTCTTATGAAGATAACAAAGACAAGAACTTTTTTGATTCGAGAAATCCATCTTTTGTTTTTTTATCTTCCTCAGGCATATGAGCCAGTGAGTGATGGAGTCATAGCAAAATCTAGGTGGGAGGTTGAGAAGAAAGTGCAACAGCCGCAACAAGTAGTGTTCTGTTCTAACACAAGCATGCAGACTGAGATTGCTCTCTAGACTTTTAGAGGGTCTTTTGTTTAAGAATTTAAAGTTTAGGGATACAATTATGAGAAGTATTTAAAGTTTGTTGTTCTTTTGGGTTTCTTTTCTCCTATATTGTTGTGGTTCTGAAGACGTTCTCATCGACCAAATCTTCTTGATAATTTATAATGGAAGTGGTCGGTGTTTGATGTATCACATCGATCGACTTGCTACTGCTACGAGCGGCTTCTCTAAATGTCTCAACGCGAACCAGTGACTCTTTCTCATCCGCCAGTGTCCTCTTAATCGTCTTTACCGTCAAACCAGCAGCATTCTTTCCTTCCAAAGACTTATGAGTGGGATTTGTATGCATGAGATTCTTTTGACGCCCAGTTCCATACTCTAGGACCTGCTTAAAACTATATCACCTGAGCTCCCTCTCTCGGTGAGCAACAGAAAACAACATGTGAGGTTTTCGCCCTCTCAAAGACACATATATCTTCCTCTTGGCCACCTGAAGCTTTTATTTGATTTTCCCTGCAGTTTGTCTGCGCCAGTTTTTCCCTTTACTATGTCTACTTAGTCACTTAATCACATGCTACACTTTAGAGACCTGCACCTCATATCTTTGAGTGTACTCCCCAACGACCAGCTTCTAACAAAACCTGGGAGAACTTTTCTTTTCACCATCAGATTGTAATCTTGGTTGACACTCATCTGTTTTCTTCCATTTTAACCACAATGAACCACCATGAACAGAACTTAACAGCGAATTACACCTTTTACCTCTCCCCCTTGTACCATCGAATGCTTCTCATTTTTGAACACTTGAAGATCTAACTGATCCCCGTGACACATCATTTGCATAATGCCTCACCTGAAGCCAAAGAAAACTTATGAGCATGCTTACTTTCCTGTATAATCATGACTCCACTTGGAACATTAAACCTTCAGAGTTTCTTGCATTTTTTACGAGCTTAGCTACAATCCTAAGAGTTTTAAACTGCTTCACTGTGCCTTTGCTCAGTTTAACAGTTCTGGGTAAATGTCTGTTCATCTTACTTAGACATTATGTCAGAACCCTTGGCATATAATCTTCATGACTAGTTCATCGTACCAGAAGAATCACCAAAGAACCATGCTTCCATTGAAGCTCCCCATTAAGTCGTGCTGGCCTTTTACTGATATGTCATGCCATTTTTGTCTCATCATACTTTATGCTAACAAGCAATCATGCAACATGCTCCATCTTCTTATTGCAGGAATCTTGAACTGTTTAGAGTAAATGTTCCTGTAATCACCAAGAAGATCATGAGTAATGTTCAGAGACATACCAACTAGACCATAATCTTCAGCTTCCATGTCCAGATGATCTTTGAACCAGCAGACCTTTTTTCTTTACTTGAGCAAGATGAAACCAGAAACCAGTTAAAGCTCCACAAATTCTTACTGCTTCATGTGATAGATACTGCAACATTTTGAGGCTTGACTGAATTTTTGAATCTTGAACCTGATTTTACGGGTTCTCTCGCTTCCCTTTCAAATGGTCTTTTGGTTGACAGATTTAAGAAAACATAAAACCAGTGGTTCCATCAGATAAGACCATCTGATAACTCCATTAAACCAGTTTCACATTAGAAGCAAAACCAACACATATTGCATCCTGGATCCATTTCCCTTGAGACTTTCCCAAATATTATATGATGATCTACTTTAAACTTTGACAACCAGAACCTACAATTCTCTCAGATTCTCCTAAATTTTAGCATCTTGAGATTAACCTTTTTCACTAGCTTGTATGCACAGATCCACTTGAACACCAACCAGCTTGTTAACCATCCTTTAAAAAACCATTTTTCCCCTCTGGATACTTTGTAATGAAACTGATAATTACCACCGAGACTGATCTTGTAACTCAAAACCTTGACAAATCGTTTGTTCCAAACAAATTACTAAATCTTGATGTATGCTCATTTGCAACTTTCCATGAAATCTAATCCAGAAATCTTTACTGATACTCAAACAACCATTAATAAACACAGAATTTAAGCTTCTAAGGTGTTCCCATGAATTCTATTCCACTTTCAACAAACCAAAAGGCACAACCTGAAAACATGAGCATTGAATCTTGGCCAATTCTTTGAAGAAAATGAACACAGAATCTCTCTCTCTTGTGTGTTGTACGTACCAAGATTTCATCCCCTCAATTATCAAGATCATAAACAACAACACAAACCACTGCTGAGAATGAGATACAACAGAGATTACTCTCTAAGAGAAAAAGGCAACTCGTAGTTGAAAAGGATCCAACTTTCCCAAAATAGACTTACGAGGCATGAATCGGCTGATCCGCTTCTCCATTGGATCCGTCGGAGAATCTCTCTGCTCTGATGAATCTTTGATATAGTAATGTGGGTGATACTTTAGGTAGTAGCGAAATATCTTTTAATTGAACCGGATAAAATCAAGAAAAAAAAAAAGCCTTTTAACTAAACCGAAAACGAACCGGTTTTGACTACGAAGAATTTCTTGGTTTAAACTGACACTCTCCTTCTTCTGCTTCTTTCTTAGTTTCTTCATGGCAAACGTTGCTTCTCCTTGCGAAGTTTCTGAGTTTGGGCTTCTCCGATTCTGAGGTTTTCGCTGAAATCCTGCTGATTTCTGAGCTCACGTTCGTTTTCGGAGGTGATATCTCGCTATCCAGCTTTTTCATTACCGATTTCGAAAAAATGTTGCAGTTTTTAGGAAGGAAATTACTTAGGTCTGGGTTTGGGTTGTCATTGACTGAGAGGGCTCGAGCTCGAGCTCCTCGTCTCCCATGTTGCTTGGGTGGAAGAGATGAGCCACGTTTGGTAGAACATAACGCTTCACTGATCTATGGCAACCGTATAAAGCAATTGGACTTGATGAAGGAAAAAATGAGGTTGAGAGATGCCAGGATCGATGCTTATTTGAAGAAAGAGATGATGCTTAAACATGAGAGTATCATTTCAAAGAAGGATCCTGAAGCAGCAGACGATACCTTCTTCAGATATTGCATTGCAATATCTTCTAATCGCTCTTTTCTTTCTCTCAAACAGCGCTGTGATGCCGACGAAGCTTTCGCGAAACGTTTGATTGGGTTTGTCACTCGATGTCAGCGCAAGGAAGCCAATTTCATGCTCTGGGCGATGAAGGAGCACTCGAAATATTCCATTCCAAAAACATACACTTCGGAATCTGCTTCTCGCGCCTTTGCAAGGACTCTTTGCCCCATTGTGATCTTCTTTGTTATACTTCTCGCCAAGATGGCATGGTCAAAGGCTAAGGATACCCACAAGGAATCTCAAAGGGAAGCAGATCTCAAAAGTCGTTTTGCAACTCTGAGGAAACATCTGGAAGACATGGTTCGTGATGAGAATGAGAAAATGGAAGTTAGGATGACAGGGATTGAAGGTGGGATCGAAAATGTTAGGGAGGAGCTGTCTAAGAAGTAAGGAGAAAGAGGCATGATCTTTATGATTAGGATCCAACCATTCCTCAAAAATGGCATTTTCTTCTCATGCTTTTATGTTTCAGGAACTCATAAAGATGGAACAACACAATGTCGTACGTGATATGAATATGGAGCTTTTAAGGAACAAGCAGCTGAAAAGGGATCACAGATATTTTTCAAGGAATGTACATACAGTTGAAGTGAAACTTATGTCGATTTGATTGCCTGATAGGTTGTCATTATCCAAGTATCTTTCTTTAACACTTTTCATTCTATTTTGTTTTGGGACTCCATGTGTGTTTGTTTGAGACTTTGAGTTGTGAATTAGACTCATGTTTGTCTCTCTGAGACTTCAAACTAGTATCAACTACTATGATGGTTCATTGAAATTGAGTGCTAGGATTGAGCTTGCTCTTTGTTTTGAATGATGGCTGCTTTATAATTCTGGTAATTTGGCATGGATATGCTACTAATCCCTTGTTCTGGCCTAGAGTTCCATAGTTTTTAAGGCTGGTATTGGTGATAGATGAGCCGATTCTTGTTATCTATATATTTCCCATAAGGTGTGGTAGCATTTAGGCACAAAGTAAGTTACTACTTGTCCACAAACATCTATTAAATCGAATTATAGTCAAAATCCACGAATATAAAATACCGAAAACATACAAGGAGATTGGGTCACATGCATAGATAATAAGAAGAGCTTGCAACATAGAGCATTTTGAAAGAAAAAAGACACGATAGACAATTGAAGTTATTTAAGAGCTCTCGATTCAGGATCATCATAGTCTCCCTGAGACATGAACAATAGAGAGATGGGGCATTAGCAAGACGATGAGCCAATAAATCATTTGCTTGTACCAGTTTATGCAGGTGTGAATTAAAAAAGACCTTGGAAAACAAACCCAAAAGAAACTAGTCATTGTTAACACCCATATTCTCTACCTAGCCTAAACAAAACAGTAGAGACTGAGGGAGCTAAACTTTTGATCAAAAATTCATGTTCAATGCATAATGACCACAAAATGAAATTAGGCTAATCGACAGCATCCAAAGGACACATATTTTCTTACCCTGATATATCGGTCAAATCTATTATCCAGTTCTTCTGAACGCTTGAAGGTCTCGTTGTACATTCTGTCTACTTTGTACCAGTGCTCTTTCCTCTTCTGATAATCTACAAAACGAAAAACAGAAATTGATGAAAATAGTTTGGTCACACGAAGTTGATTTGTTTTGAATAGGAAAAGCAGAATTACAAAGACCCATTACTTATATAAAAGTGAGCAATGTATCCACCCAGAAATGCAACGCAAAGAATCGGAACATTCTGGTTTTCCCACCGACGTTTGACGATCGAGGAGATGGATGAAGAGGACGGGATGGTGGAGAAATTGTGAGTCCCTCTGCCTCTGGATGATGAAGAAAACCCTTTTTTTACCTTGGCAAATTGAGTTCGCATCATCTTGCTGTTTCGAATCGGTCGGTAAATTAGGGTTTATTATTCTCTTTTCTCCAATCCTTGGATCCACTCTGTCTCGTCGGGAACTTCAAACGACACTTGGAACCCAAACCCAGGACCATGGAACCTGAAGCCCAATTTAACAAATAAGAATGTGTGACCCACGAACGATAGGCAAATTTATTGAAATATCTGAGAATAAAACAACAGGCCTTTAGGCCCATTGATATAAAGATGCCCAAATTGATCCGTTAGTCAGTCTTTTAGCTATACAAAACAAATTACATGGAAAGACAGAGAACAACACCTAACCCTAGTTCCCAAATTCGAGAGATGATGCGATTCCCGGGAAACAGTGTTGCTAAGGTAATCTGGAAAACATCAAATTTGGGCATCTTTCTTTCTTTGTACGTTTGTTTGTTGAACAAATTTATTGACATTGAAGGAACAAAAATTGCAGAATTTTCGCGTGGCGAGATCACAGTATCGTCATTGTTCATCCATGAGTCAGAAAGGTATATTATTATCCACCTAAATAGCTTTTATTTCTTTCTAATTTTCTTTTTCTTTTTTTTCACTTTGCTTGAACCATCTTCATAGATGTGCAAATGGGAGATTTTGAGTTATTGGTTGACAATATGGCGGGACTTTTCTTTAAAGGAGCTTATGGGGTTGTGGATTCGTGCTCGGTATGTCATGACGATATTCAAAGAAAAATCTTGCTTTTATTACGAAACAGAACATGATTGTTGTTTCTCAGGTGGTTTGACATCAACCGGTGTCTCAGAGAAAGTTCAGAAAGAAGAAGAGGTACGGAGAAAGAGGCATCATCTTTTATGAGTATGATCCAACCATTCCTCAAAAAGTGGCTTTTTCATATACAATTCTTTTCATGCTCTTATGTTTCAGATCCTCATAAAAATGAAAAAACACAATGACGAACGCGAAAAGGATTTGGAGCTTATGCGGCAAAGGCACCTGGAAAGGAATCGCATAGTTTCTTCGAGGAATGTACATACCGTTGAAGGGAAACATACCTCGATTTGATAGCCATAGCTGTTATCAGGATCAAAGTATTTATCTTTAGCACTTTTCATTCTATTGTGTTTTGGGATTTCCATGTGTGTTTGTTTGAGTTGTGAATTAGACTCATGTTTGTCTCTCTCAGACTTCAAACTAGTATCAAGTATTATGATGGTTCATCGCTAGGATTGAGCTTGCTCTTTGTTCTTGAATGATGGCTGCTTTCTAATTTTGGTAATTTGGCATGGATATACTTTGGCATTTCTAGCTACTAATCCCTTGTTCTGGCCTAGAGTTCCATAGTTTTTCAGGCTGGTATTGGTGATAGGTGAGCTGATTCTTGTTATTTATTTCCCTCTCGGCAGTTCTTCTGTGCCCATCAAATCCTTGAAGATGTCTCTTTCCTTTCTTCTAGTTTCTCTTATGATACTCTAATAATAGATGTACATTAGATGCTCTTGTGTTTGGAGAGCCTGGCTTTTGTATTGGATTCACATTTGTCGAGTATATATAGCTATCAAAAGTTTCTCTGTTTTGTGTCTGTCACTTTGGTTTACTCAAGTCACGTCTATGACCTGTCTGATTTACTTGTATGCCTTTTTTCATCTCGCATACTGCTCTTTGTTTCATATTTCTGGTGCTTTTTGCTTGAAAGGGTCAGGAACTCTTTTGGACAAAGAGTTATGTTGGCCTTTCATTATGCATATCCTGAAAGAGATGCAGTCATTGGTTTCTCTTTTGTAAAACTAAACACCATGACCGCAGTGCAGCCTTGAAATGCGGCGTCTTCATCCCCGCAACTGCTTCACTCAAAAGTCTTCATCTTTGTGGCATAAATCTCAAAAGCTCTGTAAGGTCTGGTAGAAACTCTATGATGAGAAAGGCGTCTCCAGAGAGATCCTTCTTCATAGAACAACATATTGGATCTCCATGAGACCTTTCATCTGTGACAGTGCATCCTTGGTGACATTGCACAAATCTAAGATACTGAAGGATCCATCAAGAAGTTTCTCAGTCTGATCTTGAGATAAAGACTGGTTGGTGACAAATAAGCGAATATCTTTTCATGATAATCATATAAATCTTGAAGGTTGCTAAGTCTCTGGCAGATAGAAGATGAAGAGGCTGAATCAGAAGATCTCAATCAGGTCAATTGCTCATCGACATGAGCGCCTTGAAGGGTAGCTATTAGATAGAACATGGAAGGAGACTGCCATTATTTGCTTGAGCTCTGCTTCTTTGTTTTGATAAGGCTTAAAGAGGTAAAAGATGTAATGTTCTCTGCCTTCATAATCTCTCGGGTCATCTCACATATACACCTTTTGAGAGGGGAGACACAAGAGGAATCTCAAGGCTGGTGCAAATTGAAATCATAAAACCCTATGTTTGTGCAATGTCTCCCTCCAACCACATATCTTAACGCATAAATAATAAGCAAAAAGGTATGATTAAGATATGGATTCAACCGCATGAGCGACTCTGCACTTCTACGTCTAGTTTTCATTAGTAAATGCAAAACCAGCTTGGCTTTTGTCTCCTTGGAAGCAAGATCCTTATTCCTCAGACTTTGACATGTGAACTATCATACCCATTACAACTTGTGATTTTGTATTTATTTTATCATATTTATTGTTTCCCAACACTCAAACATTTTGCAGACTTTATTATTGCAACAACGTATGGATTCAGAGATGCCTTTATAAAACTCTTACATACAAAGTTCAGTGGCCTAAGCTGTAAAACACTAATCAAAGCTTTAAAATTAAAGCTTAAAGCTATGTTTATGCATTGTTCCCCTCCAGAAATATATGATGTGATTCATATTTAAGAAACAATATTTAAGGCAATAAAATAAGAAATGGATCATGCACCTTATGTTGCTTAGTTTAAGGCAAATCCAGTAAGATTTGTCTCCTTGAAGTTGATGATAAGAGCACCATTCATGCATATATTTGCTCTCAAAACCTCATGTGCAACCAATAGATATTAGTATATAACAGTTCATGACACAACTACATTAATGTATCCACGAGTGGTACTAATATCATATTCTTGAAGGAGACAAGCCCTGCTGGTTGTGCATGTTACTACACCAATAAGATGCAGAATCGTACATAATTTATGTGATCAAATTTGAATCATATATATTGCTTTTGCACATTGGGTGATGCGTTAGGTTGAGTGGTTGGAGGGAGACATTGCAGAAACATTGGTTTCTATTATTCAAATTTGAACCACTTTAAGATTCCTTCCTTAATGTTGTATATATGTATGACCTGAGAGCCAATGAAGACAGAACAAACATCTAAGCATTTTCTTCATCTCAAAACAGAGAAATAAAGCTCAAACAAAAAATGACAGTCTCCTTCCATGTTCGATCTAGCAGCTACCCTTCAAGGCAACACCCTCAAGCCGCTCATGTCGATGAGCAATTGACCCGATTGAGATCTTCTGAGACAGCTTCTTCATCTTCTATCCGTCAAAGACTTAGCAACCTTCAAGATTTACATGATTCTCTTGAAAAGATGATTCGCTTATCTGTCACCAACCATGCTTTATCTCAAGATCAGATTGAGAAGTTTCTTGATGGATCCATCAAAATCTTGGATTTGTGCAATGTCGCCAAGGATGCTTTGTCACAGATGAAAGAAGGTCTCATGGAGATCCAATCTATTCTACGAAGAAAGCGTGGAGATCTATCTGCTGAGGTCAAGAAATACTTAGCTTCAAGAAAGTTTCTCAAGAAATCATTTCAAAAAGTACTCTATTTAGCTTCATGTCCGGATCAAAGGCTTGTGGAAAATGGCCACTAGTCTCAAAGATGATGAGCCAAAGCAAAGTTACATGTGAAGCAGATGCAAATGAATTCACAAGAGTAGACATGGAGTTCCAATCCGAAAAGTCGTTGCAGATGGAGGATGTGCAGAACTTAGAGTCATGCATTCAAGATCTTGAAGATGGGATTGGGTCACTCTCTAAATCATTGATCAAATATAGAGTCTCAATTCTTAACATCTAATAGGTCACTGTGCCCACGAAATTTTGTACAAATAGAATATGTAAATGTTAGCTAATACAACATTCTTCGTTATTATTAAGTTCTACCATTTCTTCTTTCTTTCTCAACATAAGAACTCAAAAATTGAAGGAACTTGTGGTTGATAATTTCGCTCCAAGAAACTTTTGGTTTCTAAGGATTCAGCTTTGGTCGAGAAAGGTAGTGAAATATTTGTAACAAAGCATCCAAAGAATTACTTTATTGTATGAATTTCTACTTTCTAGTATCCTATTCCTATGTCCTAAGAAACTATTTGCTCTGTTTCTTGGGTTTGTTACTTACGCCCTAAGAAACTATTTGCTCTGTTTTTAATTGTCATGACGGTTTGGGCCTATAGATAATTCAGGCCCATAAATTAAATAAACCCAAAATGGTCAAAATCATTTCATCTTCTTCGTGATGATCGAAATCATCAGTGAGTGACCTAACAATGGCCGTTCCTCCATTATTCCTCCTCCTCACACTCCTATCTCTCCCTTCTCTTCTTATCTCCGCCTCTGCCTCCGATGCCTATCCTTCTATTCCCGGCACCGCTCCTATCGACGGAGGTTTCACCGATGAACTTAAACCCATCCGCCGTGAAGTCTACGGTCATGGCAAAATCTACGACATCAGTCACCGTTACACTCCGGATATGCCGTCGTGGGACTCATCGGAAGGACTCGGACGGTTTCTATGGTTAGCTGCGAGTATGAAGAATGGATCTCTCGCTAATAACTCTGAAATGAAGATCCCTACGCACACTGGTACTCACGTTGATTCACCTGGTCACGTCTATGACAACTACTATGATGCTGGTTTCGATGTTGACTCGCTTGATCTTCAAGTCCTCAATGGTATGATCTACAAGTCAATTTGTTTTTTTCCAATTTTTGTTTATCTCTCAATTTGGTGAAGGATGTGGATTTTTGTTTGTAGGTCTTGCGTTGTTGGTTGATGTTCCAAAGGATAAGAACATAACTGGTAAGTGATTTTTGACTTCATAGTTTGTGTGAGATAGTGATTAGAAGACAGTGAGCTAATAAGAAGTTTTTGTTTAGGCAATGATCTTTTTCTTTATATTGATTTGATTGTGTAGCCGAAGTGATGAAGTCTCTTCATATTCCAAAAGGAGTTAGTCGTGTGCTTTTCAGAACATTGAACACTGACAGGTAACTATTGATTTTAGAACTTAGCAGTAATATGCTTTTGAGTTTATGAAATGAGTGTTGGATATGTTAACTATGGATGAAAACATTTCAGGCGTCTTATGTTCAAGAAAGAGTTTGATACAAGCTATGTCGGATTCATGAAGGATGGTGCGCAATGGTTGGTAGACAACACAGACATCAAACTTGTTGGTAATTATCAAACTACTCACCTTTTCTTCATATGAAGATTTGATTTTTTGACATGTAATTGTTATTGGAAGTGATTTCTAAGCTGAGTTTTGGTGTATCAATGTCAAAATATAGGGATTGATTATCTATCAGTGGCTGCATATGATGATCTTATTCCGTCCCACCTAGTATTCCTAAAAGACCGGGTAAGCAAGCACTATTATCCTTAAGTTTTGCTAACTAGATGAATCTGGAACAGCGTAGATTTGATATTGATGGTTGAGAAACTTATGAAAACCTTGACAGGAGACTATACTTGTGGAGGGATTGAAGCTGGATGGTGTGAAGGCAGGACTCTACTCTGTCCATTGCTTACCTCTAAGACTGGTTGGAGCAGAAGGATCTCCAATTCGTTGCATCCTCATCGATTGATTCTCTCCTCACAAACCAGCCAAATCCGGAATTGTCTGTAATCAAAAGCTTGCTTAGCTTATGAACTGAATATCAGTTTGTGCTAGATTTATGCAACCAATATGGAGATTGAGGTAGGAAGTAATAAGAGAGGTGCAGAGAAGACGAAGTTGAGGAGAATGAAGCACCGAGGAAAAAAGATTTCTCATTTCTATGTATATGTCAATAAATTTATTAAAAATTCTCTTAATCTGACAAAGTTGTACTCCTAATTATCAAACTGTGATTCTACAGAAAAAAAAGAAAAAAAATGAAGAAAAGTTTATGACATATAAATCCTTGTTGAAATAGGATTTTGTTTTCCTGATCATATTCAGATTGGGTTCGTCTTTAAACCTTCTCTAATCTCTCTAAAGATACAGAAGGTCATACTCATAACCCTCAACACATGTGCTAGGAGTGCTAGGGCACAGGATCCTAGCCTCGTCCAATTTTTTTTTTTTTTTTTTTTTTTTTTCATAAAAAAATCCCAACTTTTTTATAAAAAAACCAATTAAATAAAAAATTATACCTTAAAAATCCCAAATTTTGTTAAAAACAATATAAAAAATCCAAGTTTAAGAAAATAACATTTCTATAATTAAAAACAACAATTATTTGAATACAAATTTGGTATTTTTTTTTAAATTATAATAATAGACAAAAAAAATTTTTTTGTCTAAGAGCCCTTAATTTTTTTGGGACAGATCTAGCACCGGGATTGAGCCGGCCCTGCCCTCAAGTAAAACATTCCAATTAACACGCATAATAAGAAAGAGCAAGATACTTTTTCTGCAACTAGATATCATCAATGGCCTTCTATCATTGTTTTTGTTCCACGATTAGCTTTACTATAAGCTTTGTGTTACATTACATAAACAAAAGGGTTTATCTTAAAACTTGGGAAAAAATATGATCAATAATGTTAAATGGGCTTACAAAAAATGAGGGGGAGAGGCCTTTTATATAATGAGCCCATGTAAGTTGTTAAGAATGTCAACAAATAAAAAATCCCACATCGGCTAGTTGAAGATAAGAAGCTGCGTTTATAAAGGGTTGGAGTGATAGAGGTGATTGTCCCTTCGGGGACATCCGATAAAATTGGAACGATACAGAGAAGATTAGCATGGCCCCTGCGCAAGGATGACACGCATAAATCGAGAAATGGTCCAAATTTTTTTGGCAAAATTTTCCAGATCGGTTTTGAGTAAACTTCCGTTAGCGTCTATGTAGTTGGATTCGAAAAGCATTTTATTTGGATAAATGTGTCATGAGCCTGACATTGATTTGCACAGCAAAATCACTCAATTTCCACCATGTGAAGTCTGAGTTTTAAGAGCAGATCATGATCGATGAAAAGAGCAATTTGTATTTTCGGAACTGTCCATTAAAACTTACAACATGTATTGCATACACACCAACATCAATTGTTTTCTCTCCCTATGGTTACATTACATCCCCAATCAACAATCACAGCAACAAGTTTTAACCGTTTTTTTTTTCTTTTCTTCTTAAAAAGAATTCTTGAAGCTCATCAAATTTTACAACAAGATGTAACACTTTGTGTCTCAAGAATCAAGATCATCTGCCGCCTCGTTGTCTCTTCTCTTCAAGCTGAGCTGCTTCGTTCAACATATCGGCTGCGTCTGTGTTCATGTTCAGCTTCGCTAATGCCACAGACTGCATGTAGAAAGCCGTTGGCCAATCCGGATACACGCATTGTGCTTGCATCGCGTCGCGTAGTGCTGCGTCTGGTTGATCGCATAGTAAGTAGCATAGACTTCGCCGACCAAATACAGTTGGAGACACCATTGTTCCAACGTCAATGAACTGTCCACAGAAACAATGTATGTAGCCATATGAGTTCTAATAATATCCAGATTTATTTTTGGCAAATCTGGTTTTAACCATAGCAGAAAACCCGATACAAATACCGAATGGAACAGACCGGATTGAACATGCAAAAAGAAGTAGCCAGGAAATCAATACCTGTGAGTAACAGTCGATGGCTGTTTTAAAATCTTTTTCGCGGAAAGATTGATCACCGCGTTTCCGTGCATCAAGCATATCTTTCATCTGTTGCGTCCATTCTTGGAATGATAACTGACATCCACAGATAAACCCCAAGAGTTAGTTAAGACTCTTTTTAAAGCGTTTTAGCATCTGAAACCAAAACTATCATTTGAGTACCTCGTTTGTGCCTTCGTCGTCTCTGTAATGTGTCATGACCAAAATCTGATGAATAGCTGTGAGATCCATTCTTGAACAGGCCTCACCTAATGGCGAAAGTGGTCTCTGTGGAGTCGAAGGTGCCTCCTCTTGCTTCTTTATTCCAAGCATCACATAAGATGGAACCTGTAACCAAAATATTTACCACTTAAAATAAGAATTTAAGAACTCAGATAAAATTGGGAGTTTCAAGAAATCTAGCTTACGTCTGATTTAGTTTGCAATGGTGCAAGTGTTGCAACAAGATCTTTGGTATTGGGTCTCTCTCGAGGCTCATATTGCAAACATTGAGAGGCGAGTTCGACAACTACAGTAGCCTCTTCTGTTGAGAACTTTCCTTCGAGGTGTGAATCCATCAAGAGAATAATATTCTTGCCTCGTATCATATCGAGAGCCTATAGGTAGAAGATACCACGAACCCAAATTAATACCACAAATCTTATTCAATTGTACTATATGACATGGATATTTTTCAAGACTAACTATGCAAGAACCAAGAATCACCCATTAAATATATATTGAGAGCTAAATCTAATAGATAGTGGTTAAAGAACAAGAGCGTAGCACATATCTCAGCTAATTTCAAGAGAGACGGTGAAGGAGCAGTATTATACAGTTTATAGAAACCATCATCAATGACCAACTACGGTAGCTTCACATAACTTCAAACAAAATCAGGACCAATGAGAAGATAATTTCACCAAAACACTCACACACACATTCAAGTGGTAGTACACTTCTTCCTACTAAAACATATAAATAGGAACTTACATGGCTTGGAGGGATGTGCTTTCCGCTAAGCAAATCCAGAAGGACAGTTCCAAAGCTATACGTAACACTTTCAGGTGTCACTCTTCCTGCAACACAAAATTCAACAAACTGAGATCCTTCTTTGCTTTCTAAATTTGTTATATGTTGATTGTAAAATAATCCATAAGAAAAGGAACAAGTTGATTCACCATTTCTTAGATATTCAGGTGGTGTATATGCTAGATTTGTGCTATAACTTTTACCATCTCTACTGTTCTTCATCAAGCCAAAACATGAGAGACGAGGATCACCATCCTACAACATTTCATTCAAAAAAAGCACCGCCTTAATATCACAACGAGACATAGATCTAGTAAACAAGAAATAACTCTTGAGAAAGTGAATAATACCTCATCAAAGAGAACCCTATAAGCATTCAAATCATGGTACAATGGACGACCCTCGGTACTACAATAATCCAATGCTTCGGCTATGTAATATCCTACTCGCAACCTCATAGCCCATTCAATTGTCTGATTTTCCCCTGTGAATTACCAAAACAACAATAAGATAACAAACAAAAATTCACCTTCAAGACATTCCAGTTCACCTAAAGTAGTCTCTTTTAATCCATCTAACAGCACAACACCATAAATGCAAGCTCCTAATATTAAGCAAACATTACTAAAGTTGACAGCTTTAGACAAGAGGCAAGAAAAGAAGAAGCATACAATGGAACAAATGCTTAGCAAGAGTATCATTAGGCATGAATTCAGCAACAAGAAGCCTCTCATCTCCATCACAACAATACCCAATCAAATTCGCTAATCGATTATGCCTCAATTTCCCCACACCCCATGCTTCTTCCTGAGACAAAAAAAAAAAAAAAAAAAAAAACAGATTTCAGAAGAAAAAAAGCAAAGAAAGATTTGATCAAATTAAAGGGTTCTGTTTTTTTGGATTACCGCAAATTGTTTAGGCTCAGGCCAAGCCAGCTTAGTAAACTTCTTGACAGCGATCCAACGACGGTTCTGAAGTCGGCCTTTGTAGACAAGATTTGGGGCTTTCTCACCACTTTCTGATACGATGTTGTCTGAGCTAAAGTTATTTGTGGCTGCTTTAAGGTCAGCAAAAGAGAACTCAGAGAAAGATGGGATCCCTCCTCCTCCTCCTCCGCCGCCTACACCACTAGCTCCGCCGCTTCCGATTCCACCATTATCAGCAGCCGTAGCGCCGCCGTGGTGGTTTTGAGATAGTGGTTGCGGCTGAGCTCCATCTTTCCCAAGTGGGTTTTCACCGGAACACAAGGATTGACAACAACCCATCAAAATCTTTTTCTTACCGAAGTCGGAAAGTGTTTCTCTTTCGCTCCTTGTAAGAGAGAGAAAGAGAAGATAGTGGTCGAAACAACAAAAAATAAAAATTGGATTTTTATTTCTTCTTTTTCTTTTCAATTCTTCTGTTTTGACTCCTGAGGTAAGTTTCTGAGACATTGTCTCCTTCTTGTCAATATTGGTACCACTAAAATAGAAAATTAAAATTCAAAGATTAACACTTTGATTATAATTTTGATCATCATCTAATTTATAGGTTTGTTACTATGAAAATATATATATTTGTTTCTATTTTAAAAGCTGATGTATCGTCTTAGTTAGTATCCGTTAACGGTATAGTAACACTATCTCACGATTTGAGGTTAGTCCGAAATTCAAATTCTGGATTAGTTGATGTAAGTTTAGGTACAAAAGAAAGTTTTATATATGAATGCGATAAAGTAATATAGTGCTATGAAAAATAAGCAGCTTTCTCTTCTATTGTTATAAGAAGATCAACTTTTGAAGTTGAACTCTTTTTTCTTTCTATAATTATGTTTTTGTTAAATCAATGGATTTGAAAACTGAAAAGCCAAAAATTCAGAAGAAGCCAACTTCTTTTGTATACTACTATACTATAATACAATAAATTGATTCCGATGTTCAATGATTTAAAACTTTGTGGTACCAAAAGAGATTTTGGAAAATCACATTATTGCCAGCTCAAATTGTTTGTGATTGGAGTGACTTATCATCAACCATTCCTACTTTTGCTTTCTCGATTGTTTTTCTTATTTATTCAACATAACATTCCCATTTCAACAAGTTTTTTTTTTTCCTTATAATTCTAACCTAGCAACTTATTTCAAAAGGTTCGTACTTAGTGTAAAAATGTAAAGAGAAGCGTGTGAAGAAAATATGAAGTTTTAGAAGTTGACTTTGTAACCTTGTGATGTTTGGATTTATGTGTTCTTTTGTATTATCGCACTAGTACGTTTATTTTTCTAAATTATTAACGTGCCTTCTAAATAGAGTAAAAGTAAATATCAATTTTCTTCATGAAACCAAGTGTTCTTGGTCTAGTGGTTGCCACTTGTGGAGGAGTTGCTCTGTTGGTCTAGGCCAGGGATCGATTCCCCGCAAGCGCGCAATTGTTAGATCTCCACTTGGCCACATGGATATGGGCCCTTGCTTTCGGCCCATTTGCATACCCGGAGAGAGAGTCTATATGTGGGCTGCACCTCCCCCAGGGAATTAGTCTGGGCCTCTCTATAAATCTGGGATTCCCCTGAGTTATAAAAAAAAAAAAAAAATTCTTCATGGATTTGACAGACTGACATATTTCTTTCCGTTTGAGTTCTGATTATCTTGTTTACCAAAAATGATTATTTCTATGTGTATTCCTTGAAATAAACTAGAATAAATCTCTTGGAATGGACCTTATTTTAAGAAGTTTACTCTTGACAGATAATTTTCAAAAATAAAAATAAAGAGAGTTTCCTTGGCTTTGGAACTCTGAATGTGTAAGCATTTATTTGGAAGCCTGATAAGACAATATGGCTAAATGTTCTAAATTCCTTAAAATATGATTTTGCTAACTTAAAACGGCATATTAGAGAGAACCAAATTTGAATTGGATATAATTACGCGGTACCTTTTTAATAAAGACGGCTAGCGTAAAGACTACAAAGCATGGTCAAAATATGGATTAAGCTTTCAAACTTTCCAACTGCTTACTCGTATATATTTTATTAATTTTAGATAAGAGTATGAGGATATAACACCAAAATCCAAAGGAAAATACACCGTAGAATTATCCAACATTTGTACTTCCATTTGAATTTAGTTTGGATACCTAGAATTAGAAATACTATTTTCAACATTAAAAATAATCATCGCAATATATATACACACATTACTATTAAGCAATAAGTTGATATTTATTTTAAAATAATTTGATTGAGAAACAATATAATAGTATCATTTAACAACATATAATGAATCTATAATTTCAAAACTGATCAAAGGTTTGGAAAAAAAAAGCTGCAAATTTTATCTTAATGAATAAACTCCAATGACCACCCAGAAGGACAATAATTGGTATATTCTCAATTCGAATGTATGCAAATGAAAAGTATGCTTGCAATTTGTAAATTGTAATACCCATATATACCTTTGGGGAAAACAGAGCTTTAAGCTTTCAAGAACACAAGAGCTGTCTCTTTGTGTTGAAAAGGCAAAGAGATCGAAGTGATCCAATGATTCTCCAGAGTAATTGGCTTGCTTATATGATTAGATGCTCAAGCACTATCGCTACTATTTTTAATAAATAAGTACTGATTATTAACCTTTGGTTGGATCGCAATAATAACTTCTGGCACTTATTCTCTGCATGTTATTTACTTTATTTCAATTTATTATTTCTCAACAAAAGAGAAAAAAAGATTAACACACGAGACGTCAAGTTCACGGTAATCATGTTAGGCACGGCAGCTCCAAGACGCGAACTATTGGCACAGGCACTAGTCGATATTACTCTTGAGGCCATTGGGTATAAATATTATAGTTTCACATGAATCATTAATGTTTGAAGCTGCCAGGCTAATGATTGGAAATAGTTCGTCTCTATTTATCGCACAATAATTATTTAGCCAGGCCAAGTAACTTGTTGGCCATGCATAATTGGATATCATGAAACACTAACTTTAACGAGAATATCTCTTTCACGTAAATCGTTCACTATTTTTTTCATCGATCTCCATATATGACATGGTTATCTCGTTTAATCAAACACGGACATCGAACAATGAGGCAAAACATAAAACTTCGTACGTTAACTTTCAGTATTTATTTGATAACTTAGATTAGTTTGATGCTGCGTACGTTATATAGTTTCTGCAAATAGTTCGGTAAAAACAAAAGACAAGTGATTTGAAAAGTATTTTGATGTGATATATTTACTTAGCAATGGTACATAAATTTTCGTTTCTGAAAAGCTGAGAAGAGAGACGTGTGATGTGATCACTTCGAGACGTGAAAAATTAGAAGTTTTGTGGATTTCTTGTTGTAGCTTCATAGTACTAATTATATGCAAAGTTCATGTTACAGTTTTGTACTGAATGTATCAATACTATCGAAATGAACAACAAAGCCAATTGAAAAAAAAAAAAGATCGTTTGGATTTACTTAGTAGTAATCGATGAGAAACAAGATTCATATGGACGATGCGATAATCCTTATTCTGCCACGCATTGTATTTTGGAACTTGCCCATTGTGATTGCGATTCTTTTGAAAATATGAAAATTTCCAAATCCAATAAGATTCGAATCGGGGTTTTCTGTTTTGTCTTAGAATATAAACCGTACTTTACTCCACTAAAAGACAGTCCAGCTGCTCAAGAACAAAGCATATTTGGACAGAGAAATAATACATGATCAAAAGAAAAACAAAAGATTTGCCTGAGCTATATATATCCTACCTTCGGATTTTACAAAAAGAATAGTTGAGAATTATCATAAGTTTGATCCTAAGCGTCTTATATACAAAGACTGAAATTTTAAATTATTAGACTCAACTCATATCTGTGACTTGCGTCCATATGTGGCTACTAACTGTCAAGTTATCATCACCAACCTTTCTAGACCATGGCATCAAAACCATCCGGTTCAAAGCCAATTTCACTAAAATGCCTAAACTCACCAGACGATTGGCCGTATCTTAACCCGGTTTCTGCCTCCTCTTAGATCATCATCCTGACGGGCGTTTCTTGCCCGAGTCTCAGATGATTCCAGTTGGTTTTCCGGTATACCAAACCGCAAAACTGAGTGTTCTGGCATTGCAAGATCAGCAAACAGCTGGATCATGGGATTCAAATTGAAATTGATAAGCAAAGGTCTTCCTCCTGTTTTGCTTTCTATTCCTCTTCTTCCTCAAGTTCTCGTGGAGCAGTTTCTTCTTCGGTGCGCTTCAAGAGATCCTCATAAGCTCTCATAGATTCAGCAGTGAATCTCTCCATAGCTTCAAAAATCCGTTGCAAACTACCTTGTAAACTATCGCTGCTAGTATCGCTTTGGTAGACAATGTTACCGGATATCGAAAGACTATTACCATCACCCGGTGCCACAAGAATCATTTTCTTTTCCAATGCTTGAATCTCTCTCTGTATCCTCTGTTCTTCTCGGTCCATGTTCCTAACTTTCTTCTCTGAATCCCCGTGCCCTGTCATCATCGTATCTAACCGATCTTGTTCCCAAAGCTGAAGCACGCTTGTAGTGAAACTACGCATTGCCTCAATAACTTCCTTCTCGGATATCCTATCCAGAGCTTGAGACCATTGGTTACAGATTACAAAGATTGGTGGAGCCCCAATCCGACCAGGTGAAAAAGGAACGATCCCATCAGGTGTTTCCTCAGGTTCATACAGAAGACATTTCATGAGCCATTTATTCAACTCTTTTACATAACCCTTCTGTGCGCTAACCCAGCTAGAGAATCCCAATATCCAATTAATAAGTTCATGTCCAAGCAAACTCGTCGCCTCTAGATGTTCATCGCCGAGTTTCTTGCTTGCTCTTATCGGTCCCAAACCTTGTGCTTCCCTAATAGCTTGACACTGACTTTGATGACACTCAAGCATAGATGTCCACATTCTTGTAAGCCTAATGATAACCGAAATCAACATTTGATTAGCGCTACAATGACAAACATCTAGAACATTGTATATATTTGGAGAAGAAAAGTTTATAATACCCTTGAATCAATGCATTCAGTTGCGGCCACAGGTCTTCGTCTCTTATCTTATTAATCGTTACAGATATTTTGTCGACAACCTGAATCGCAATCCGAATTTTCGTAGACATATCTCTCACTAATCTCCGCGTTTTATCTACTTTGATAGCCTCGGCACCTCTTTCATCCAAACGCTTTAGCTTCCTTAGCTTTTTCTCGTGAGCTAGACGCAATTTTTCCTCAGCCTACACAGAGTATAAACTCTCTCTTCAGAACAGAACACAATCACAGTGTTCTAAGATCAAAGATTTGATACAATAACAAATCAACCATTACCTTGACTTCATGGTAAAGCTTCTTCTCCCAAAGATGGAGCTTGTGCAATGTGGAAGAAAGATTCCTCGACCTCGAAGCAAGCTCTTCTTCAATATCTGCATAAGTAGGCGGCACAACAGCAGCAGCAGACGAAGAAGATACTCCAGAGGTAGAAGGTACCGCCGAAGGAGTAACCCCGTGCAACATCTTCGAAGCAACTGCTCCATTTCACACAAAACAAAAACAAGTACAAAACTTTACTCAACCAATTGCAGAAAGCTGAAAACTTTAAACAAAAACATTGTAATGTGATCAAGCTTTACCATGTTTACGACCATAAGGATGCTTCCCAACTTCAAGTAACTTAGCAATCTCACTTCCTGACTCTGCAGCTTTCACGAATTGATTCTCAATCTCTTTCGCAACCTCAGGCACCGCACGTGGCCCTCCACCTCCTCCTCCTCCACCACCACCACGTGTCGCCGTGGCATTGCTCCGCCGTTCCTCATCCTCAACAACCTTCTTCTCAACAACGTGAACTTCATACTCCATTCCTTGTTTCTCCACCGACACACTCGGTCTAGACTGATACGCAGACGCATCTCCGATATCACCTCCACCGCTTGTACTAGCACCGGATTTATCAAGCGGCGGAGACGGAGACTCTTCCCTCATCATGTGTACGGCGGCGGGATTCGGTTGATTACCACCACCGCCGGCGAATTTTGGTTTCCCGTGAACTTCTTTAACAACCTCGTAATGTGAATCATCGTCTTCTAAATCCGGTATACCTTCTTCTTCTCTTAACTCTCTCGAATCTCGACTCGGAGTATACGGAGGATAATAAGTATCAAACGGATTCAAAAAATCCCAACCGTTAGACCTAGGCGGCGACGGTGGAGGCGGTGGCGGTTTTGTGGCTGCAGCAGTTGTAGAAGAAGAAGAACCGTAGTCTCCGGGTACTGGATTTGAGTATCCAAAATATGGATTTTGAGGAGGATATGGATATGAAGATGATGATTCGCCTATGTAGACTCTTTGAGGACTAGTTGGTCTTTGCTCATAGACAACTGAAGGAGGCATGGATTTGTTCTTCATGTAATTCATGTGCATATAACTTCCTCCTCCATCAGAGTAAGGAGGAGGAAGATGACCCATCATCTCTGGATTCGGGTACCGGGTTATATAACCCGGTTGTTCCATGTATCCACCCATTGGTGCTGATTCGGGTATAGGGAAATTGCCGAGATGGTGGTGGTGTTGAGGAGAGTGGTGATGCAACGAATCCAAATCCAAATCGTCTTCTTCTTCATCGTCTTCGGAATCTGAATCGAATTCGAGATGACCCGAATCAGAACCCGAACCCGAGTGAGCGTGGTTGTGGTGAGAAGAAGCAAGCTTTGTTTTTTTAGGTGAATTTGTTGCTCCGTCGCCATCGTCAAGGTCACCTTTTCTCTGAGGAGGAAGATTAAGTCTAGGAGAATCAGCACCGGTAGCGCCGCCGGAAGCGACGAAACGGTGGTGGTGGTTGATGAAAAGATGGAGAGAATGACCGATACCTCTAAGCGAATGAGTGTAAGCCACGTGTGATTCAGCTAAAGCGTAACGTTGATGAATAGCTGCTTCTAAGAAAGCACAACGTTCACGGCAAAGAGCAACCGCCGGAAGATCGTCGAGCTTAGAACTTGTACAACCCATACCAATCAATAATGATTCCAAAAAAAAAAAACAAAAAAAAAAGAATCAACTTATATTAAATTGAAAAAGAAAAAAAGAGAGAGAGACCCAAGATTTGAAATCAGGTAGAGAATTGAAATTAAAAGACTTTTCGTAAAGAAAGAGAGAGAATTGAAAGAAAGGTAGGTGAGAGGAATAAGAGATGGAGGCGCATATGGGGCAAAGATGGTGTGGGTTGATGTTGATAGAGATACAAAGAAAGAATGAAAGAAGTGTGAAGTGATTGTTTTCTCTTTTGATAATTTTTATTCAATTTTTAGGACTCTCTCTATAAGAAAAAAAGATAGAGATAAAAATGAATGATTTTAGCTCAAGAAGATGAAGGAAGAAAAAAGAAAAAAAAAAAAAAAAACAGCAAAAGGACTGTGAAGGAATCTTGCCAGCACTGAGATTTTCGTCCGTTTCTTCCATAGGATGAGTCGGTGTTTTTTTCTTCATTTTTTCTCTTTTCTTTTTAATTACCATAATCTCCTTTTCCAGAAAATTAATTAACCCGAAATTTTCTTAAATTCAAAGAAAATATATACGGTAGATTTTTTGTTGTTGGAAAATTTAACCTTTTTAGGACAGTACTTTGAGAGAGATTCAGACAGATGACATGGATCTTAGAAGATACGGTAGGAGTTTTCCATCTTTTTAATATAATAACGTGTAAGTAAGTGGACTACTTTTCTACTTTGGCTTTGTAGTTTGGTTTGACGGTAACTTTGACTCGTTTTTGACCATTTTTGTATTATTCCCAATTTACCCTTAGTTGTATTCTTTAATTACGTAACGACAGCATTTGATTTGGACAATTTAAATTCGACTTGATGATGGTAACGGGTAACGTAAGAAATTAAATGATGAAATTCGTACTATTGAACTTATGTCTGTTATTAATTAGTAATTGATTATTGTCAAAGGAATGTAATGGAATTTGTTTTGATTAAATATAGTACAGTAGTTGGTTTGGTGTGTTCAAACTAAAGACGTAACTAAAATCGATGTTTGTTAGCTTTCAGGCGCTTCAGGCTTCAGGTGTGATGCTAACGTCGTCATGTTTCTTCCTCTCTCATTGACTAGACTCATTTATTTTATTTATCATCTGAACAAAACAAGCTTATTAATCTATAAAATAGTTCAAATTTTAAGAAGATAAATGTTAATTATATCGTTTTCGGTATTACTGTATTTGTTTTTGTGATCAGTGATAATCAAATTAAACGGTATATATACTTTTTTGTTGTATCATTAAAGGGTCAATGAAAACTAAGTTGCAAGAGTCAACCATGTGTTTTGGGATTCACTTGTGAAATTAAAATAAAGTTATTGGGTAGATTTATTCTAGACTATTAAATTTGGATCTTCACTCGATAAAGTTTTTCTGGGCTGATTGTTACCGCCAAAATAACAATTCTATAATTGTTTTAACTATTTTTATGTTTCAAATAAAATATTATGTAGCTTAAAAAAACAAAATTAAGACGGCAAACCAAAATTTTTTTTAGCAATTTAAATTTAAACTCACAAACAAAAAAACTTGTAACGATAGTTGCAGACTTGCAGGAGAGAATCAAATTGGTATAGACCAAAGTATGCTGATATACGGACACATTAATAAATGGAATTATGGAAATAAATACATATTTCGTATTTTCATGCAAGGTCACGAATTAAAACTTTACGTGCAGTTTATTGCAATACGTATTCGAGCATCGAACACTCTTTTTTCAAACGTAGGAAATAATAATTATATCGTAACCCTCTATAATAACAAAAAAAAAAATATCAATATCGGAATCTTTGTTCTAACTTCTAAGGGGTTTTTTTTTTTTTTACTTGTTCTAAGGTGTTATGTTACTATCTTCAGATATTTGGAGAAACCCGTGAATTTTGTTTGCGTTCTGTTAGGCATATAACATATATTTTTTTGGTAAGAGGCATATTTACATATTACATGTTAAATAAAATGCGAAAGACATGTTTCTACCAAATCTGTCATACCTCAGATTACTTCATTAACTTTACGAAATTTACTAATTAAACAAAACCGATATTACATATTTCGTTTAACCGGATTCACACAACACCAAACCGTTTTTCTTGTTACCGACTAGAACGAACAGTCTAGAACATGTATTAGTAATGACTATGCACATTGTCACAACAAAACAAATCAGGTCCGTAGCGACAAAAAATGTGGTGACGACGAACTATATCACAAAAATGATGTAGAGCAATCAAACAAAGCCTCTCAGGATATTTGATATCCGATAAGGATACTTAGCATCGAAGCCTTGTAATTGATAATGTTATTTACGCAGAATAACTTGGTGCAGAAGCAACCCTTTTTGTTCCTTCTGTTTTCTTTTATCTTTATTTTTTTTTTCATTTAACAAACTCTTTTTACTTTTTGTATTTGTCTTTTTTTTTTCGTAATATTTGCCTTTTTACTGCATGCTAGATCCTTTATCGTTTCCAAAATTAAGACAAATAAATTTGGTGTTACATTTAAATATTTAATTGATATATCTGCGTTTTTATGGCACATGGTAACTGAAAGTAAAAATAGAAATTAAAGTTTTCCTATTTTAGGCCAGTGGTTGAGTTGAATCTAAGGATAAAAAGCTTCTATATCTGTAGATTAATTTGGCGTTAAGATTTTCAATTAAAAACAAAACAATGCATGTGATTTATCCAAATTATAGTTGGCCATGTGGATGTTTTCTATAGCAAAAATCTATGTTTTACACAATATATAGGATAATTGTATCCATATATGACATATCGCTAAACAAATTAACCAACAATTCTAACCCAAAAAAATAAATAAATTAATACAACAACTTATTTTCCATTTTAAAAACATTCATTTAACGGGACGTCGAGACCAATGTGAACAAAATGAAATCCCAATTACTCAAGAACATATGTAGGTGGTTTCATATGGCAAAAATTAAATAGTGTTCATGCTTTACCTGAAATCCAAAATAGTAGAGATCATATATAATTGTCATGCAAAATTATTTGACAAATATCCAAAATCTTAGTGATGTTAGGTGCAGAATATAAGAAGAGCCTGTTGATTCAGAGGTAAGGGGATATTTTGAGAAAGTTACTTTGGTCCCCTACCCAACTTCAATAAGCCAATTGATTGTTACATTTTGGGGAAAGAGTGATGAAGTAAATACTATATAGTATACTTGATTACTTGAAGTGTTTGTATTTTGTAATGTAGAAGTGAATTTTAAAAAGGAATATTTAACAGTACTGTGCTAAACATTGAATTTAATGCATTGTGACGTCGTCTTCTTCTTCTTGTCCCTATCACCTTTTTATTTTCCTCACTTTCTTTAGGGGAAAAATGTCGTTTTATCTCCCAACTTTCAAAAAGTGGCCAATCAATACGTCAACTTCATATGTGGCCATTTAAAGCATGAAATAAACGTTGACTAACGTTTGAGACATGAAAATTCGTTGACCAGGCCAAAATAGACATGCCGTTATCAGTCGTTAACGGAACCTCTAACGCCCGTTATCACCCGTAACGACTCTGTTAATCAACTTTCAAATTGTGGCCATTTTAAACATCAACTTCATATGTGGCCATTCAAAACATGAACTAAACGTTGACTAACAATTTGAGACATGAGAATTCGTTCACTAGGCCAAAATAGATATGTCTTAATCAGTCATTAACAAAACCTATAATACTTGTTATTACCCGTTATCGACTCTGTTAGTCTGCCAAAAACGACGTCGTTTTGAAAATAATCGAGAGGAAATCAGGACAAATTTTTTGTTTAAAGCATAATCCAAGGACATGGTTTGATATATAGATAATCATAGAGCCAGTAATTGGAAGCAAACATCGTTTATATATTTGTTTTAAATCTAAAAAGGAATCATAGAAGCAAACTTGTAGACCCATCATAGGACTAAATGTAGCTTTTCTGAAATGGAGATGGAGATAATAGGACTATTCATCTTGTTTGAGCTGTTGTAGAAATAGATTTGGGGATTTGGTGTTTTCATTTGGGAAAAATCTTGATTTTCTCTCGATTTTCCTCAAAACGAAGTCGTTTTAGACATACTAACAGAGTCGTTAACTGGTGATAACGGATGTTATAGGTTCTTTTAACGAATGGTGGCGACATGTCTATTTTGGCCTGGTCAACGAATTCTAATGTTTCAAATGTTAGTCAACGATTAGTTCATGTTTTAAATGGCCACATATGAAATTGATGTTTAAAATGGCCACAATTTGAAAGTTGACTAACAGAGTTGTTAGGAGTGATAACGGGCGTTAGAGGTTCCGTTAACGATTGATAACGGCATGTCTATTTTGGCATGGTCAACGAATTTCCATGTCTCAAACGTTAGTCAACGTTTATTTCATGTTTTAAATGGCCACATATGAAGTTAACGTATTGATTGGCCATTTTTTGAAAGTTGGGAGAGAAAACGACATTTTTCCCCTTTCTTTAGCTTATCAAGTTAAGCACGTTCAAGCGCAACATCATTTAATTTTCCCATTCTAGGATCTAGACAACACCGTCGTTTTTTGTCTTTCTTTGGCTTATAATGAAGGTCCAATTATTTGATTTGCTAATGCACTTTAATTTTTACTATACTCCATTTGGATCAGATTAATCATCATATTTTATTTAATCGTTTATTTATGATAGTATAATACAAAATTATACAACGTAACTATAAAATCTGTAGCCAAAGTTTGTAATATCAAACATTATATATGATGTTGTAATGATAATAGCATAGATATTGTCATTATTTAGGTACCAAACGGTACTAACGTTTCAGCTTTTTAAGTTGACTGACTGATTTTTCATTTTTTTATATAAAACTTGCTTAAAACTGCTTTTTGCATTTTACCTTAGACCATCCGTGGTGTAATAAGTGTGAGGGGTGTAAGATTTTTTTTATTATTATAATTTAAAGTGAGAAAAAAAGAGAGAGAGAGAGTCTTACATCCGAGTGTAAACTTACATCCGGATGTGAAAAGAAAGACAATTTTTGCATTAAATCTGTTTTTTTTAATACTTACAACCCCTTCCAAATGCACCACTGCCTATGCTCTTAATTGTGATTTAGCTGAAAAATACAGAGATGGAAAACATCAATCGCAGACCAAAACAGAATGGAAAAAAACGTCAATCAATTGAGTAAGATGAT